CATTATTGTACCAGTTCCTTTCCACACCCTCTTTAATAACTTTCTTTGAGGAATTGAGGAAGACCTTCTTCAATGATTTCGCCATTTTCTTGAGTCCATCAACATCTAGACCAGCAATAATAGATTTAACAACTGTAGATCCAGTTATCTCAGTGAAATTAATTTCACCCGGGCTAAATAATAACTTGTCCAAAGTTTTTACTCTTATTTTGCTATCAACAGACGGTGACTGTAATACCTTAGCTAGAGACATAAGGACTTCTTTTTGTTTTTTAACCATTATTTTGGAATCATCTTCATTGTCTCTCTTATTCCTTATTTTGCTGGCTGTCTGTAGACCTTTGAACCAGTCCATAAACAACTTGAAAAAGTTGTCGCTCAGCAGATCGGGTACGACTTCCAAATTCTCTTTTAAATTCAGGAGAACAGTATTCAAAATATTTAATGAAACCAATTCTCTGTTCCTGTTATGTTTTATAAGATGACTGTCAATTTTATTCCAAAACAGTGAAAGATGTGGTGAGTTAGCAATCTGTTTACCAAACTCCTGATATATTGGGTGGCTTAATGAATTGAAGTCTACGCCTGTCTGGAAATAATAATAATAATTTATATAAATTATTCCATATGAAGTGGCAGTATTTTCAGACTAGGATTTTTTTAAGAGACTTGGATTTATTTTATTAAAAACTTAATAATTTATCAAGTAAATTTAACATCAGTTGTTTCAAAGGCTCATAACAATACTACTGTTCATATAAAATTTATTCTATTTGCTACATAGTTATTTAGAAAGATACTATTAGGCAACAACATTTTTAAGACTGCATTACACTTAACATACACAAAAAATGAATTAGGAACATTAATTGCTTACTATCCAACAAGTATCTGAGTTACATTTTTATAGTATACATAAATATTTTGTAACACGGACAAAATATGGAAGAAATGAATAGAATATACAGGGTCACTGGTGAATTACTATCGATACTTGAGGACGTGATATTTGACGATCATATATGACAAAATAAAAATTAATATAACATAAATATTAATAAACTTCTAAGTAAAGTTAACCAAAAGTTATGTAATTAATTACGCATCGTGTGAACACCCTACAGATTAGGTATAGACACACACACACACACACGTGTCGTGTCCACACTTTATTTATTTATACGGAAATTTGGTCAAAAATTAAGTACCTATTTTTTTTACATAATTCGAATGAGTATCATGTACCAAGTATTCTCCTTAAATATTGATAGTAATTCACCAGTCACCCTGTATACTACATGGAATATATTTTATTCTAAATATTTTTGATATAGAATTATCATTCCATAAATAGCAAATAATAATGGCTAGAGTTATAAACCAAAAGGGTATAACATTTTAAGTTAACATGTAAAAGGAAAGCAAATTTAAGATTTATGTTTTCCGACATTCATAATATTCTTTTGTATACATATATATCTTTATAATATAATAGTTACCATTAATTTGTCACATATATCTGTAATATGATCTTCATGTAACAGTTCTGGCACACCAATCAACTTCCTCAGCTTGACTTTCTTAGGAAACTTTTCATTAACAATCATCAAAAAATACAAAGAGTCTAAACTGTGTTCATTTATAGCTTTTTTGTAATTCTGCTTTATGTTCGGCCAAACTATTGTAGCAAATTGTTCTTCATCGAGCTAGAAAAATAACAAGAAGTAGTAATTAATGTATTTGAAACAGAAAATATTAAAATTTTGTAAGAGAAGTGTTCTTATAAATGAAAATGTTTTTAAAGATAGTTATTAACTTACATTATTAATAAAATCAATAAACACTATCGTTGCCACAGTACTCAAATATGACTTCTTATTGCTAGCTGTTTCAAAAAGTTGCAATACTTCCTTTTGTTCTTCCTCAGTACATTTTAACATAAGTCCTGAACGAAAAACAGCCCCGCATACCATAATGTGACCTAAAGCAACATCCCCAACTTCCTGCAAAACAAATTATATTCTAGAAACAAAAAATACATAACCTTATTCAGTTTTATACTTAAGTTTATTGTTTAAAATGAATTATTTCACAAGTTTTTACTTTGTTTGTTATGACATTTTCTTTAAAGAAATGAAACATATACAAATGCATTTGCAGTTGAAGACTATAAGATACCTACATGTTATCATTTACTATAAATTGTTCATAGTTCATTATTAAAAAAAATTGCAGAGCAATCATTACTACCATGTCTTTTGTGCAAAAATGTTTCATATTGATATGAATATACTCTACATTCCTCCATAACCTTACATTATAACCATTAAGTTAAAAAATAACTAAAAATCATAAAGCACTATTTTTACTAAGAAATTATATTTTTGTTATAATAAATTTCTAATCTACCAAGTTGCAAAGCTTGAAGAAGACATCAAATGAAATAAAATTAGTGAAAAGCAATAAAATGTCAAATTAATATCGCAACTCATTACTGCATTATAACCTTCCAATACTTATTCAATACAAGCAGTGTGATATAAAAAGTAGAATTTGTGGTTTACACTTTACACTCATCCTTTAATCATATTTTCTATAATAAAAAATGGATTTTGTTTGAATTATAAGTATGTACATTCAAATTAGGGCTGGCATCACTGAGGGACATTTTGTCCCAATTGATATTATTAATATGTACATGAAAAATGATTGAATTTATTAACATAAGAACCCTGGTGATAACTAAATAATTTTCCCAGATATTTTCAGTTTATTTCAAGTGGTTGTGATAATGACACTTAAGTAAATGTTGCTTGTTTTAGATATAAGAGGTCAAATTAAAATATTATGGTTTACAATTAAAAACAAAAAATTGCTCAGTGGTGTAACTACAGGGTGGCAAATCGGCAAAATGCCATTGGTCCCTAGCCGAAAGGGGCCCCCAGTCAGATGAAAATACATATATGTATATTAAAATTATTCAAAAAAATATTGTAGTTATTCTGTACAAACCACTCTAAAGGTAAAGGCCTCCTCCAGTGATTATTAGTCAACACAAATAAAATTGTTTAAATAAGTATAATAACGTAAAAAATTCTATTATTGAACGTTCACCTAGTTAAATAAAGGGGGAGGGAGGCACGAAGGCCCATCTGATGAATTTTGTCACCAGCTTCGAACGGTGTAGTTAGGCCACTTACATTGCTTCTACCCAATTTAACTTTCCTAAGTATATAAACCTAATTGAAAAATGTACAGACTTGGACAAATTATCATTTAAGAATCTAAGTAAGCCTTAATTATGAGTATTTACATTTCAAACCTTTTCAACTAAGTCTTTTGAAACTTAAATGCCACATTTTTAATGGTAATCGGGAAGTGAAGCTTTTTGACTTATTAATATAATTTTTTATCAGATAACTTAAAATATAAACAAATTTGCATAATATATTAAAATCTCGCATTTATATATTCGCAATAATTAAATTTAACTTCAAGAAATATATACAGAAATTATAACATATTTTTTACAAAATTATCAAAACAATGACAAAAGATTATTTTTGCAAATAATCTTTTTTCACACCCTTACCCATCCATAAATATTTTTTTTCAGTATCTAAACTATCATTTTAGACGGATATATAATAATTTTTAGTAATGAAATCTATGAATACATAGAAAATCTAATATGATAGATCCACATAAGCAATTAGCGATAGCCGATAATCATTTCTTAATTTATCAATTATAAATATTTTATAGTTCACTGTACTCGACTTTGCATGTATAAAAGCCATATTTAAAACAAATAACCAACCAATATTTTACAATTAGCAGAGCAATGTGTAACAAATATGGGAGAATAAATTAAGCAATCTTACACTCTTAGATGATCCACTGGCATGGAGTTCCTTTTTTATCAGTTCTAGCAGCTGTGTCACTGTTATCTCTGGAAACCTAGTCAGGAGCGTGACAAGTGCAGCAAAATAGCCCGTACGCAACTCAGCGATGTTCGCGCCAAGACTTCTTACCAGTCTTTTTAGAGTATACTCTAGTTCCTTTCCACCCTGGTGATGTATAAATTTACTTAATTATTATATATGGTATTACTGTAAGGAAGTATACAGACTATACTTCAATTGTTTTAAGAAAACTCTGAACAGGTTATATGTTAGTAACACAGAAAACTTAAATATAAAACTAACCTCATTTTCCCGTAAACGCGAATGTATCTTAAGACCAGCAACGATTTTTAAATCATCTGTCGGTGATTTAAGTAAATCAAAAGCGTCTAATAATGAAGCAGTTACTGCTTTGTCAGGTTTATCCATATTGATCTCGTTTTTCATATTATTTAACCATAGCAAACTTTACTTATAGCTCTATCGTCGTTCTGCATTCACACACCGACGAGCGTTTCCACATGGGATTGTAATTCAGAAGTATATTTGTCAGAGCAAAGATACATTAGTAACAATTATGAGTATTGCCAGTAGTCTTTTCAAACATGTTCGATGTAATAAAGCTCTAAATTTTATTATTTCAGTATAATGAACAAAAAAATTAGTTACAATATGAGGTTCTTATTTATAGTAAATATATATAATGAAGTAATTTAATTACTTTTTTTGATCTTAAAATGTTTATTAAAAAAATTATAATTTGAAGAAGTTCTTCTTTATGTAATTTATTTATATATTGTAAATAAAGCCAACTAAACTTCTAAAAGCTAGATATCATGGTATTTTCTCTAATATATACATAAAACATTTTTAGTCGTTCAATAATGGTGATGCAATTTTATCAAATAAAAAATATTTTATTCATTGAAATATTTTATTAAAGCTTGATATTTATTTTTATTCAATAATTACAGCGAAATTTATGATAATAAATTAAATTTAATAGTGTCTCATGAATTCAGAACTAATCTGCAAAATAGGGGGACCCCTTCTAGAAATTGATGCGCGCGCAATTAGTATTCCATGTTTCTAAACATGGCAGGTCGCAGTGGTTTTGACGATGGTAATCCGAGGTATTTATTCCTGAAATGTGAAATTACTTACAATATTTACCATTTTAACTACATTTTATTAAATATATTTGATAAAAAAATTATGTATATACCATATTTTTGGGAATAAAGCATTATTTTAAGTTTTTCTGACAGTGCGATAACATTGAATGAAAGTGGTATTTTAACAAAGCGTGCGTTTGTAATATAATTTGTCAAAAGTCTTCCGGCTCACAGTGATGTTAGTGAAAGCATGATCAGTACCTATTAGTGTGTGATACGTGTTTTTTAGGTTATAATTTTTATCTGGTTACCATGATTGTGCAGGGACTATGGAGGCGGCAGGAGAACTGTGGGCGGCCGGCCTCTCCCGACTGAACCACCATACAAGGCCTACGTCGGGAACTTACCCTCTGGTCTCATTCAAGGCGATATTAACAGAATCTTTCCAGTGAGTACACATCTAGTTATGTATGTTGATTTTGGCGCAAGTTTTTATCGATTATTCATAACTAATTGAATAATAAGCAACCAACGAACGTTTAAGAATATGTTTTTATATTTTGTTAATTACTTGTATTTAACAATAAAAATGTTATGCTAAATCTTTCTATAACAAGTTCTGCTAAGTTATTAAAAGAGTGAGGTTATATTTTTGTAATTGATAAATTTAGGCATTTCAGTTTAAAAAGTGAAGAATAACAATGTTGATGATAAATAAAATTGACAAAACATGTCCTATGCAGATTATAAATGTATAGCACCAATAAAACACTCTAAAAGCCATTCTGCATACATATTGAGTAGTGTTGGCCTTATCTTATTTGTTTGCCTTGATTTTTGAGACCTTGAAACATGATTATGTCACTAAAGTCTAGATCATTTACTCATATATGCTAAAAAAATTAAAATGCTCACTGTTTATGGATTCCATAAACTAATGTGTTATTGGTTTTGAATGAAGTATGTTAGTACTATTTTATTTAAGATACACATTACATTTGTATGTACAAAGCCTAGATTCTGTTGATCTCATGACATAGTCAAGAATGTATTGCTATGTATCTACTAACATTTTATAAACCTAATTTAATAAAAGTAAATAAGTCAAAATAGTATTCAGGGCGATGAAGAAATGTCACAGTGGAAATTCTCAAAATTATAAAAAAAAAATTAATCATTAAAAAGTAGTTGGTACTTGTTTTGTTGCAAAATTCAACTCTTTAAAACCAATCAAAACTTTTACTTACTTTCCACTATTTCTATATATTAGTTTAGGATGTGATATTCATTATTTTGCATAGATTTTTTAATAACAATTTTTGGAAAATAAACAGAATTTCATAATAAAGTTTATAACTCTGATGTGGCAACTTGATATTTTGTGTATACTAATTCTCTGATTCATTATTTGTAGAATCTAGCCGTTAAAAATGTCCGGCTGGTTATGGACAAGGAAACAGATCTATTCAAAGGATTTTGCTATGTGGAATTTGAGTATCTCAATGATCTCATAAAAGCAATCGAAATGAATGGTTCTCTAAAGGTAGATGATAAATTTGTAAAAATTGATGTTGCGGAAGAAAAAAGGAATGATAGGTGAGTGTCTCTCATATATAATTAAACTAACAAATTTTTAACTCTTGCATAACTGCTATTCTTTTCCATATTTTTATTCATTAATAAACTTGAAGCACTTTTTCAAGGGTTTTGTAAGAAATTTAATGGCTACTCTTACTTTATACTTTAACTATTATCATTAATGATCCATGATTGTTTTCAAATTTATTTTAATATATATATAATTTTCTAGATTTTCTTAACAGTTTATAACAGTGATTTTATTCAACTAATCCTTTATAATATGACCTTGTATTGATAATGTTTGTTCCAGAGGAGGTGGCTTCGATCGAGGAAGACGCGAGGGTCGTGATGGAGGCAGGGACGGCCGCGGTGGGTTCAGGAGGGAGGGAGGTGGCCGTGGTACGTACGAAGACAGGAGGACCCCGGGGTTCACACATGGTAACATACTAACACATCTCTGTAGGGCATGGATACATTTGATTGTACATTTGATATTAGATAGACTTTTACTTTGCGCAGACCATGTCCTTAGTATTGTTGACTCATCCAAAGAAAGGTATGTGTGAGAACAGGAACAGCCCACTGTGCGGTATGGATTATACATCATTGCATCCTTGATATTGATATTAGATGTAATTTTAATTTGTAAGAAATTTTGTATGACATCAGGATGTACCAGGATTTGACTCATGGTACCCTGTTAACATACTTCTATGTGTTATTGATGAATAGAATAGTTAATGTTGAATGAAATTTTTATAAAAAATTTTGTTAGTGTTGTCAACTTGTATCTATGTTCTTGTATCTATATTGTTAAAGGTATGTATAATGGCAAGATGAGACAGGATTTTATCATTCATAGTAGCTAGCTGACACAATTTTGTATGGCATGATCACATTTAGATGGTTTTGTACTTGGATATTGTTTTGTAATATATTAAAGCATAACAAAGTACAAAAAGCTCATGAACATTTCTTTTTTTAAGTTTTATAATGTAATTTTTTACTTTAATGGCTGTTAAGGTGAGTATTTTCGTTTATATATCATTCATGACAACTGTGTGACTTGAAATTTAGTTTACAATATCATAATATATACTAACAATAACAAATAACCTTAGTATAAGTATACTTCAAGATAAATATGAGGATAAAAACGATTGTCTCACTTTAATTTCGTGCTTCTCATTATTGGAACACAAGTTTTTTGTATTATTCAAATATATATGTTTGTGACACACGGATTTACTTATTATAATATTTTAAAAAATAAGTACCTGTGTGACATTAATAGTTTACTTGCATGAGTTACTAGTTTCTAATATTTTTTCTTTTAATGACTGAATTATCTAGCTTGTTTGTGGTAATAGCTAACATTGCAAGTTTAATGTATAATTTCCATCAAAGTTAGCTTTCTATTCCAAATTTGTATTTTTTTTTTAATCAATTCCTTCTAAGATCAGACTTATCACAAAGTGTGAACACCAAAACTACAGTAAATTATTTTAAGCCGATTATTTATTATTTGTTGTAAATTTGGTCTTTAATATATGTAGTTTTTATCTGGCCTTGTCATACCAAGCTTGTGGGTAATTCGTGGGTAATGGGGAAGGTTTGGGTGGGATCACAACGATAATTTGATTATGATACAATAGACCTTAGTTTGATTAAGACTATAATGATAACAGAACGCGAGCGCGGCGGCGGGGCGAGCGGGGAGCGATGGAACGACCGCGGCGGGGAGCGGCCGGAGCGCGGGGGTGAGAGGTGGAACGAGCGCGGCGGGGAGAGGGGCGCGAGGGGGGGCAGCGAGGAACCCCGCGGGGGAGACTGGGGAAGAATGGGGAGACAGCCGTCAGCACCCAGGCAGCAGCCACGTCGCTTTGACGACATGCCGCCAGCCAGAGCCGGTATGTAATGAGGAGCTACGGATTATATACTCATAACGTATCTATCAGTAATTTCAACCAAGGCAACTGTCTAGTATTATTCTTAATTATCAAGTAAACGTTGAGACGCAAAGTTTGCGTTGATGAGCGTCGCGTACAATTAGAAGTATATATAGTTAATAGTTGGTGGTATTTTCAGACACCTCAGGTAGACCGAAGCTGGTACTGGAGCCGCGGACGGTGAAGGAGCCTGTCAACTCGCTGGCTGCAACAAGCCAGGCCTCCTCTATATTCGGCGGCGCAAGGCCGAGGGAGGAACGACTCAAAGAACTCGCCGAGGAATAGTCCCATCGACCCCAAACTCCTCTGTGTATATGTATCGCCCATACTTCCATACTAAATTCGACCTTGTACATGAACCGGTGTTTTTTTTGTTAGGTTGTGAAGTTGTAAATCATTTTTTTAATAGCTTTACTGTAACGCTTGTTCAAGGCATCTTTTTAAATTTGCTAGTTTCTCGTCCGGGCTTGTGTGTATGATATTTGCTTTCATATCTAAATTTATCTATAATTCACTTTGGGTGATATAAAGATATTTTTATTGTTTTTATTTTTCAGTTTGCCTATTTTGAGAATTAAATGCAATTAGTTCTCTAATGTAATGCATTATCATTTTCTTGTTTGTTTGATTTGTTAGGTCGTAAAAATCATTGAACGAGTAATAATGAAACATAATTTAAGAGTTATATAATATAATTATGGTGTCATTAATAAATTAAACTTCCACGTAAATGAGTTTCTATTTTATTAGATATTGTGTAATGTCATTATATACGTGGCAGAGAAAAAATCGCAAAATTGTAACGAATATTAGAATGAATTAATAAAAAGAGAATTTCTATGCAACAGATGATTTGTCTTAGCTTTCTCCAGTCGTCCTCTCCTTAACCCATTTTATTATTATTTTTTATTAATGATTACTAATGATAAAATACATCGACATCTTTATATGTTTGCGTTTTTTTCTCCGTAACCCATATTCCCTTCCCTGTAATCCTGAATCTATGAGTTTTCAATTATTAATAATTATTTTACTATGAAAATATGAAATTGGACAACCTCGATAAATTACCTACATACTTATAAACTATTTAACATAAACTCCGATATTAGATTTATTCTAATCTAAGTTCGTCAGGTCAAATTATATTAAAGATAAAAATGAGGAACTCACGATCTTATCAATTTCACATCAAAGAATCAATGCTAGTAACGCTGCATAATGACTAACTCTGATAATGTATAACTGTTTAACAAAGTTAAAAATATCTAGAAATATAAATTGATCTCATGAAATTCTATATATATTTTTAAGAATAAATTATCCAACTACATATAAACAACATTTGTTATTTATAAATTATGTAATATGATGCGAAGACCTCTGTTTTCCTATTTAATTTTGAATACAATGCGAAGTAGAACTTATTTTTTAAATCAAGATAAAAAATATATATATTTGATTTAGACTAAAAGGTCTGGATAAATACTTCAAATTCTATAATAACCTTTAACTAACGTTTAAATATATTTCACATTCTGCATAGCCCAAAAACTTGCAACGTCAAAAGACAGCTGCTTCTAAAAAAATATTAGATTTTATATTTCTTTCGTTCATGTTATCTCATTTCAGAGTATGTTTATAATTTTATTTTATAGAATCTTAAAACATACTATGTTTTCAATAATTACTTTGAGATTAGAGATATTTTTCTACAGGATTAAATATTAATTATTTAAAACCTTTCTCATTGAATATGAATAACTTCATTTTGTAATACTTGAAAAAGATAAAGTTTCTTAATCATAAATTGTTTCGAAATTCCAAGACTGCATTGCCTTTCACATGCCAAGGTTTGAGGAAGCTGTGATGTTTTTTGATACTTTCCATTTCGCTATCAAGGTGAATTAAGGAGTTAAGAACTTCATGAAAAGAAATAAAAGAAAATTAATATATCAAAGATTTTATTCATATATCTAAATCTTCATCTGGATCTTCATCATCCCAATCATCAACAACATCTGGTTCATAAAACACTTTACCCTTGCCTTCATTAATTTTATTCATGTATGGCAGTTTTAATTTGTTTTTCTCCAACTGTTGAATTTGATCCGTCTCTATTTTGAATGTTGTCAGACTCCCCGGTGAAACTTTTTCAGATTCATTGACTTTTAGATTATCCTCTTTTAATACAGGAGACAATTTAAATGTTGAAGTTGTAGCATCATATGACATGATTTCTTCACTTTTAAATATTTTACCACTCTTTTTCACTTGAACCCAAATTTTATTTGCCACTACTTCATCAAATGATATTACAGCATTTGATATGTGATGTAGATGTGTTTCTATTTTGGAGTTAGGAAACAGGCAGTCTCTGTGTAATATTAAGATTAATTTTGTTACATTTGAGTTTGTCTGAAGACTTTTAATATTATTTAAACTTGCACTCCAGCCCAGATCTAGCACCATTTGGTTTAATGAGTCTACAACACATATACTTTTCTCAACAGGTGCATTATCAAATCCTTTTAGGCATTTGATACTTTTGCCATGTATAATAGTTTGCCAGAGTGGTAATGGCTGCTCATAACATGTAACCTGCACCATGCCTTCTGTATTTTCTAGCAACTCTATTAACAATGGTAATATATTTTTATTGATATCATCTTCTATCAATACGGTAAAGGCACTTTTTATTTTAAACAATGCCATAACTAGTGGCAGTCGGCAGATAGAAAGAAACAACTCTTGTTTAAGGCTTAAATTGTTTTTATAGGTTATAATAAAAGTTTTGGATATATATTTAACGTGAACTCAATAAAACCTTTTCATTTAAATAATAGCAGTAGAAAAAAAATCTATGTAAAATAGAATAAATGTGTTTCTAAATATTATTATAAAATGTATCTATATACATATATGAATTATGATTAAGCTGCTCTATGATATACATCCGCATTCGTGTTTTTAGCCTTTAAGTCTTTACAAATGACATCAAATTGACACATTATTCTATAACTAAGTAACATTCTGTACAATTTGTTGCAAGGAAGAAATTGTTAGAGTAAAACAAATAAATGTGTACAATTAAAGTAAAGAATGAGAGCTTGATCTACGTTTTGTTTATACATACATCTATACAAATAACTAATTTTATTAGTTACTTTATACATATAATACTACATGATAGATTGTAAAAAATCTTTTAAAAAATCTAAGCTTACTAAAATAGTCTTAGAAAATATTGATGTATTTTACTATGACACCAGTATTTTATACCTTTGAAAATCATGATTTTTATGTTTACATGTATAAGCAAACCACCGCTATAACATAATATCCAAAACCGTTTAATTGAACGCGGCCTTTACATTAGATAAGTAAGTCGGTATCAATTAGGAATAAACAAATGACAAATATTAACTAGGTACCTCTGACACTGGCATTGGCAAAGCTGAAATTTAGATTGCCATATTAACAAATTAAAAAATGAAAAGTAGTAGGTACAGCTACGGTTTTTTATCTTAAGTTTTCGAGATTTATTGACATTTGACATATTTCATAATGTGTCTCAATTCTATAAAAGTATTTTATAACTTGTGTGTGTAGTGCGAAATTAACAAAATGTTTAAGCGCATTATTAAAAACAGTATATTTGTTCGACACACTGCTTTTGTACCTGCTTATAAAGCTCCCGTCCAAGAAGATTTTGATAAGCTAAGAGAATTTCTCATCAAAAATAAACAGCTTCTTATTCTCACTGGAGCTGGTATATCTACAGAGTCAGGTTGGTTAAAGGAATATTTTAGTATAAATAATTAATAAATGCCTATAATTTATAATAATAACGTCCTATAATTTTCAAGGTATACCAGATTACAGATCAGAGGAAGTAGGATTGTATGCACGAAGTAATCATAAACCAATTCAATACCAGGAGTTTGTGAAATATCCTAGAGTCAGACAGAGATATTGGGCAAGAAATTTTGTAGGCTGGCCCAGATTTAGTGCTGTGAAGCCTAATGCAACACATCATGTTATTAGAGACCTAGAAAAGGTAAAGTGGCTTGAGCACTTACAGGATAATGTAATATTATGTGAAATGTGATTAATTTGGAGATAAAAATTCATTTTATATTTTAGATAGGAAAAGTATCTTCAGTGGTTACACAGAATGTTGATAGACTCCATCATAAAGCGGGTTCAGAAAATGTTATTGAACTCCATGGAACGGGTTATATTGTTAAATGTTTAAATTGTCCATATGAAATAGATCGTTTTAAGTTGCAAGATATATTAATGAAAAACAATCCCGGTATGAAAAGCAGCTTTGATATGATAAGGCCAGATGGAGATGTGGAGCTATCCAAAGTGAGTTTACCCATCAAAACATATTTTTATATATAAAGCAGCTTCTTATAATATTTGTTTCTTTTTTAAAGGTGATGAAATATTTTACAATGAAACTTAGATGACATGATAATTAATATCCTGTATTCATGGTAACTTCTAAAACAGTTTTTTTAACAATTAATATGATTTGCCATTTAGCTTTCCTTCAAGTAAAGAAATTTAAATATTTATTTTTAAAAATACAGTATCATAATTAAAGAGATCTAAGATTATTGCTGGTACTCATTTAAATGAAACTAATATTTTTTTTTTGCGTTTTTTTTAATGTTGACTATTTACTGTAAGGTAGCTGAAAAATGCATAGAAAATATTACTATCAGTATCATAATTTGTACAATTTAAGGTAAATGTAAGAGTTTATTTTCAGGAACAAGTAGAAAATTTCAGGACCCCTCTCTGTCCAGAATGTGAAGGGCCTTTAAAACCTGATATAGTATTCTTTGGAGATAATGTACCAAAGCAAAGAGTGGAACAAGTTAGGAACGAAGTTAGTTGTAGTGATGCTGTATTTGTACTTGGTTCAAGTTTAACTGTGTACTCAAGTTATAGAATAATTCTCCAGGCCAAAGAAGAAGGGAAAGAAGTTGCCATTTTAAATATAGGTCCTACAAGAGCAGATGACTTAGCAGATCTTAAGGTTTCAACAAAGTGTGGTGACATACTAGTAGATATATGCAAAACAATTATGTGACATTGTTATAGAATCAAATATTTCATTCTACACCATTACATGAATTTAATTCAAATAAATGTCTTGTAAAGAAAATACTGTTTGATTTAATTTTAATTTATTATAAAAAGAAGTATTGTTACAAATTGATCATTTCAAGCAATCAGTACTGAAATAGTTTAACATAAAACATTCATTTAATTTTAATCAGTTACAATAGTTAGAAAGGAAATAAAAGATATAGGTACCAAAGATAATAAAAAGCTGTTATTTAAATCAACTGAGATCACTGAATTCTATTTTTACTACTACTATAATGATAATCAATTAGTCATAAACAATTTTTTTTTAATTTTTACTTATGTCTAAAGTTAATGTCTTAACCTCAGCATACATATGAGGTGTAAAAGGATAAAACGTCTATTAATTATTATAATGGCTACACTATGTCAGGAAATGAAAAATGTTTTTACCTATCGTCATAGTAACTAATTCTGTTCAGGATTATCTTTTGCTACACTTGTCTACATTTTATATACTGCAACATTAGTGTCAATTAATATTATAATTCTATATAAGCCGAAAAATATATAAAGAAATTACATTTATATTATAAGACTTATGCAAAACTTGGCATAAACAATTAAGTTTATGGCAGTGTTATTAATAAAACATACATACTTATAATTCATCACACATGCAAACATAAAAGTACTTATGTATCTTGAGCTATAGTTTTAAAATAATTATATATTATTGAAATATATATGTAACAGTTAAAATTACTATTAAAGTAAAACCATTCAAGCTTATTTGATCATAACATATATACGACGAGAAATTGAATAAGTCATTATAGTAATATGATAATTTTTAAAAGACTAAATTAAGTCATAAACCTTACAATAAATATGAAGTGCATCTTACGTGTACTCATTATAAGCATTAACATAAACACATTCAAACAGTCTTAAAATTACCATGAAATTCACATTCAAATTGCTTTGTACACTACATTGAAACCGTAATACTTGTCTAATGTTATTATAAGAAGTAGTCTGCTTGAGGTTTTTTAGACGGAATACCCCTGGATTCCTGTGGAGCAGCTTCGAATATGGTGAATTCTCGCTGAAGTGTCTCATTTAGCTCCAATATGGCCGCAACATTTCCGCATCTACAGTATATAAACAATATTATTTTGTTGGTAATTGGTTATTATAACAATATAAGATGACCATCAAAGTCTCTGATATGGCTGATTTGAATTAAGACTATCTTTGCACTTAAAGAACTTTTTTACAACTTAAAGGAATTATAATTTGTGTTAAAAGTATAACAGAGTTATTTTTATGAAATAATTTTGAAATATTAATGTATCTATTTTAAAAAAGAACTCCCTGAGAAATTTTGAATTTGATAAGATACAATCATTAGAATCATAAAGAAAACATAGTTTAGTGTGTACTTTCAACTAACTTGTGATTATGCTATCAACTGAATATAATGTATAAGAATATAGTAATCCATCTTAGAACAAAACACAATCATAATATTTACACTCTCAATGTTCAATTACTTAAATAATACCATAAAATCATTAGCAAATGAGACAGAGCACTGTTCAGTACTCACCTATAGCAGTAATTGGGAGCCGACCATACAGTTAGTACTGTCTCATTGAAATGCCACTTGTATCCTTCCATGACCAGCTGGTGAGCCCGACAGATCATCTCAATGTCATTGGAAACATTGAATTGAGCCACGACATCTGAACCAAATAGATAACCAGCCCCACGGGGAGATACACCCCAGCCTTGTGTATCTAGAATTGTGAAACCGATTAAACAATGTTACATTTCACTTGTTGATAAAGCCTAACTATTCTAAGAGATAATGCCTTTGGAATTCACAAATTTATGATTCGTATTTAGATACTCTGTTTGGCTCTTAGCAGAAATATATTTTAAAAACTTTTAATATTATTTAGTCTTACGATGAAGCAAAATAAAACGTCTAACAAAATCTATACTAGGAACTGGTGAAACTCTTTGTAAGATTGAGGTTCATGGTGTTGACAAATGAGTTTATGACAAAAAATATATTAATATAGTCCATAATCATCATCATTGTAGCCGAAAGACGTCCACTGCAGGATATAGGCCTCCCCCAAGGATATCCATTACGACCGGTCTTGTCCATACAATAAATAACATAGTCCATTTCAATAGAAATTGGCAATCTTGTAAATAAAGCAAATTGACCACGATTACTCCGTTCTTATGTACAATGGAATGCCAGTCCTGATAATAATTACATCTCTATGAACCCACCGCTGTTTTAACAATCTTTTCATCACTAAACCACTTTGTATATATGTTTAATTTATAAAATTGTTTTGATCGATTTTTTTTATTGCATTTGTCAAATTGACACCATCCTTTTTTTACTCATCAAAGTCTATATAGGTATCTTTGAAAAGTCAGTGTTGTACATGATGAATGTATAATAAATACTTATAACAATTATTATTTGTACTTAAAGCAACTCACAAATATTAAAAAACGGACTATAATCAAAGCATTGCTACAAAGTTAAGGTATAGTTTTCGATACAAAAGAAATAAAGGCACAGCTTGCTCTTAAAATTCGACAAACATAACTATAAGAGTAAATATGTGGAAGATTACGCCATATCAAAAGGACTAACTGTGCTTCGTCTTCCACCTTATCATTGTGAGCTTAATCGTATTGAACTCATTTGGGCTCAAGTAAAATCATATGTAGAAAGAAAAAAACAAAACAGTGAAACTGCCAGAAACGAAAAAATTGCTTAAAGAAGGGTTGGCAATGATTGGAGCAGAACAATGGAAGAGATGTCTTAGTCACATCTTAAAGGAAGAAGAGGAGATGAAAAAGTTGGATGGCATCATAGATGTAGCAACTGATGCTGGAATAGAGCCCTTTGTTATAAAAGTCCAAGGTGACACTTCAAAAAGCGATGATTCCGAATAAAACCATTTATGTATATATATCGGTAAATTTGTATAATATGTATATAAATATAATAATCAAGATTGAAGTACATATCTTAAACAGTGCTCACTTCTCTAGTCGCATAGACAAGTCTCTGTCAATATCAGCTAATCACGTATGTTTAGAAAATTGCCAATTTCTATTGAAATGTACTATAAAATGTTCTACTGAACATTGATGAATACATCAAATGCAGGAGTCTCACCAGTATTAAATCGGGTTGGTCCCAGCAGGGCCACCCAACCCTTTCGGTGACGCTGTCAAAGCCATTAGGGCTAACAGCAAAAGACAATTCGAAACAAAAAAAAAAACAGATATCGAATGTTCGTAGTAGGCAAGCTAATAAAATTAATTATATATTTATGTACCTTCAGGGTCACTCCAAAGCAGGTCGCACATGGGTCCATCATGGGGAACTTCTTGTTTGCGATCAATAGTCCGAATTTGATCCAATGTCTGTATAGAGGGACTAAGTCCTCCATGTACGCAGAATATCCGCCCATCAATGATAGCAGATAGAGACAGATAGTCAAAAATTTCAGTGCAATATCTGTTGAGAATAAAGTTAATTATTATTTGTCACAAGAACTGTGTCACCCAAAACCAGACTATCGGAATGAGGAATTTTCTTATCTCTAGTGTTAAGGCTTCTAAGATTTTATTATTAAAGCTACGTCTATTTATAATAAAAGAAACAAAAAGTATTTGATTCACGTATTGGTAATTACACAGTATGTTTAGCCCTTATAAAGGAATGTAAAAAAAATGCATTCTACCTCCATACTGTGATTGAGCCATATTTTCTTATGCATTCATCATAGAATCCATATACTTGAGTAATCTGGCGTGACTCATGATTGCCTCTTATCAATGTGATGCGGTCTGGGTAACGCACCTGCAACACAAATATCTCATTAAATCTTTAACTATAAAGATACATGTATATAAAAATTAAGTATGTATATATTTAATAATGAAACACTTTCTGTTCACTTTAAACTTTTAAATACCTTTAACGCAAGTAGTAACAGAAATGTTTCAACAGAATAGAAGCCTCTGTCTACAAAGTCACCCATGAAAAGATAGTTTGTCTCAGGTACATCTCCACCAACTTTGAACAGCTCTTTGAGGTCATAGAATTGTCCATGGATATCACCACAAACCTAAAATATATTAAAAATAACTAAGAGATTCAATATTAACTAAGGCAAACAAAACATTTAAAAGGTCAATAAAACTTAACCTAAATCAGGTTTATATAATTATCTCTATGCAGACAAAGGAGATGGAGGAAGTGGGTTTTAATTAGGAATAAAATATCAGAGAATATAATTTGCTATAAAACTATGATTTCAAACTTCCACGAAATATGAAAAGTTTAAATAGTCTAAATAAAGGTAAGCAAAGTGTAAGTTTCATTGGTTGGTAAGAGAGAGAACATGCCAGCATCGCATTTAAGATCATGTGAGAAACTCTTCACCGTTTGAAAGAAAATATAAATGTATTATGAATATATATTTTTTAAGTGAAAAGTGGCAAACGAGCAGACAGCCTGCTTGATGGGCAGCAGTCATCCATGGATATCTGCAATATCTCTATTGTGGATGCTTCGTCAACCTTACTTTTTGAGGAAGGAAGGAAATGACAGGAAAAGATGGGAACAGGGAAAGGGCAACTGGCTCTCTCACTCATCGAAGTAGCCATTAATGACTACTTCATGCCGAACTTCTGTAAGATGGTAGTGGTACTATCTAGATGGGTACTACCCCCGTTGAACCAGCCCATGTTTGAGCTCTAGCTACTTGACCACAGCTAGGCTTATAATTATAATTTATTAAAGTTCAACATGTGGAATAGAAATCAATTTAAATATGAAACTAAGAATTTTGTTATTGAATTTTCATGACAAAAATATTATACAAAAGAAATTAACAAGATCATAGGGAAAGTAGAAATATGAAGTTGAATAATTGAAAATACAATATAATTTTATTTTGCAAATTGTAAAAATCTAAAATACTCTCAAATTAATATTATGAAAAATTTAAAGACTCACTCTTTCAATTAGATACTAAAAAGGCAAGCTCTAGAGGAAGGAAACATTGTTATAAGCTAATAAGACATTTTATTTTACTAAACAATAACTTTGTTAGGTATTTGAACAATTCCATACGGAGAGTTGAACTTTTTCAATCTTTAGCACAAATGCACAATTCCAAACTTTATGGAAGACTTGTACATGGCGCGTTTAAAATTTAAAAAATTATAAACTTATCTTCTAGTTATTTTAGGAAGGTTTGCCAACTTATAAGTATACATGGTATTCAAAATAAAAAATGTAGGTTTTAACTTTTTGTTATTCTCGTGAAGGCTGTGGCAAAATGCGTGTCACTAAACCAGTTGTAATTGTGTTTAGGAGATTGTATCGAGGCTTCTGTGGTTTAAATATTTTAGTTATCATGTGGCATTTCATGGGGTTGTGGGGTTCCAATGCCATCAATGAAAGCAAAATCATTCATGTGGCACTTCATTATCATGATGTGGGTAACCATTAAAATCAATTGAGAATCCTACAAAACCCAATCCTTAAATCTTTTGGATGAAGAGATGAGTGATATTTTTTCTTTTGAAAAACTAAAGTGAAAACCCTAATAGAACATTTAAACAAAACCAGTTATATGTCTATTACATGACATTTTTTTAACTTCTTTAAAAAAGGTAATAATTTTTAAGTATCAGTCTTTTTTGGAAATACAGATTATTTTAATACTCCATAAAAATAATTGTTTTTGGAGTGTCTATAAAGTCTACTCTATTAGCTGAGGAAAAAGCCATAATGGAGGTAAACAACTCACAAGCCTCATTACAAATCACACACAAACTAAGTTTTATATCACAATATAAGTCTTTGTTACAAAACAAAGAGGGTAATTAAAAAATACAAATGTTTTAAAAGGTTGTTATAATAAATTATCAAAGATTTTGGCTATGTATCAATCTAATTATAAAGATGTGATTACTTGAACTGTTAATGGAATCTGACCTTAATGAAGGCTGTAGATTTCATTGAGGTCACATCTATCAAATAAATTTCATGGGTTTCTATTACGAAAGTACTAAGTAATAATATAAAAAATGTCTCACAGTCACAGGGGAGTCAACTCGTTGGACGTTGCTTTCTTCGACTAGGATCTCGCGGGCTTTCGCACAGAGGGCTTTAACCTCTGCCTCCAATATTAGCTTACATCTTTTCAGCCTTTCAATTTGACGATCCAAATCACTCGTATCAGACATGTTCGCAAGATATGAAGACCTAAATCAGAATAACTATAGAACGTTACACAAAAGGAGGGTAATTCCATGAAAATTCAGCAAAGCATTCGTGTCAATTATGCGAACATGAATGAATACGTATACAGTGCAAATAACATGTTTTAGTTTTAAATAAAACGTACTAATAGATATATTATAACAAATTAAGTTTATTACCTTTATTAATAGAATTAACTCTTATTTCTGTTTCAAACAATCGCAAAAATCTCCAGTACTCGATATTACCACAGACAAGGATTTATTTAAAAAACAATGTTGCAATGTTTAAAAATTAATGTTAACCTATTACACGAATAGTTACAGAATATAGATGTAACTTAAGTGTAATATGGAAGAGAAGAAAATAATTATTATAATAAAGAACACTATTATCTTGCTTTTACTCTTTTGTCTTTTACACAATTTGTTACTTTTGAATAGTTAACAATTTTAAAAGGTGAAGCTATAAAAAGTTTCCAATTATTGTTTGGAAAAATTTAGTATACAAATGTTAAATATACAATTTGTTACTAAAACTTAACATTATAACCAATTTATACTAATGTAATATCTTTTAATAAACTCCTGAAGTCATTATGGAAATAAATTCGTTAGTAACTCTGCGCGCGCATATTTGATTAAAGAAATAGTTGACCATAGACAATGTGATATGTATTGTATAGTTGTGTGGGTGTGTCACAATATTGTGTTGTTACTTGTTCTACTTGTCAAAAATCAAAATATATAGTTTCGTTCTATAAGTGTTAACTTTACTCGATAACCGATTTATTAATTATTTTCACTAAGTGAACTGAGTTTTGTTGCACAGTAGTTATCTCCAATATGGGAAATATTCACACCGTCGGGCCTAATGAAGCACTTATAGTATCAGGTATGAATTGAAATGTTTTCCTCATATGTTTTAGTTATTTTTAAAGATTTACGAGGAAAAAGATAACAATAAGTGTCATCGCTTAATTAATATGTATATTTAATTTTAACTTAAAGGAAATCGTTTCAGCTACTATTTAATATATCGCAAGGCTAAAAGGTGTTTTAATTAATAATATAGCTTTGGTCTATTAGTGTTTATGGCCTTGAAGTGCCTATTGTTATATGAAACCATGTTTATTTTTCAATGTTAACGAATTCTGTAAGTGTAATTCACAGGAGCAAGTTATGTTTATGTTCTTTTATAATGCCTAATTGCTATTGATAACAATTAAGATGACTAATGCGGAGGGATTTACCGCCTTATCAGTTTCAGCTTTTAAGACGAATATTTCCGAGTAATCAGATACGATGAGCATCGTATAATGAAACAGCAACATATAATAAAAATATTATCTAATATATTATCCTAAAAATCTAGAGCAGACCCCATGTACGTTTTATTAAATCCGCGCCCTTCTCCCCTATCATAATAGCGGGTGCGTTAGTGTGTGCTACTATTGTTTGAGGTATAACCCCTGAGTCTATAACTCGTAGTTTTTTTATTCCATAAACTCGTAACTCGGGGTCGACAACTGCTTCAGGGTCTTGCGGGGGGCCCATTTTACATGTCGCGATTTGGTGGTGAAGTGTTGACGTAACCGTTCTAATAGCACACTCCCAATAAGCGTCACTGTTAAATTGGTATGACATACAATTAGGGAATTTTTTAGTATGTAATGTAGCTCCATATTTTTGATAAGGCGGGGTGTCTACTAATCGTAGTATGTATCGAATAGCTGCAATCATGGTCGCTACGTCTTTAGGATGTGTTAAATAGTTGCCGTAGAGATTTGGTTGTTCAAATGGATTTTTAGATTTTAACTTTAAGTGTCCTTTAGATTTCGGATGTAAAAGCATAAAAAGTATTGTAAAACTTTCTACATTCTCTATTGGTCTATAAACGTCATTGTATAGCCAATCTGCCATTCTTATCCCCCGAGCTACTATATCGCCTTCGTCTGACGCCAGAGAAGCGCAGCTACCCAAGAGTTCAATGTCAGGATAATCACCAGGTTCATCAGATACTTCTGTTTTAATATATCCTAAAGTTTCTACTCCAGCCAAAGAAGACATCGGTCCGTCGCCATACTGTGTGTACTGGACAACATTATCCAACGTAGCAAGTTTTCTTTCTACCAAAGTCAATCTCGTCGCGTTCAAAGTGAATGCTAAAGCCGGGAAAGATATGTGGTCGTATAGCGATTCTCCAACTCTAAGATCTTGTATAACATCAATTCCCATGCTTTGAAGGTGGTCCCTGGGTCCTATCCCTGATAACATGAGTAAATGAGGTGATTCGATGGGGCCAGCACTAAGTATGACTTCCTTTCTAGCTGTTATATTATACATTTTTCCCTCCCTTTCGAACTCCACACCGATAGCCGTTTTTGTGTATGGGTCTATAATAACTCTTGTCACTCTACTGTTCGTCAAGATGTGAAGGTTCTTTCTTTTCTTGTTATTGTGAAGAAATGCTCTTGCGCTACTCGCTCGTATTCCTTTACTTATTGTTGCTTGAATGTAGCTCGAACCAAAACTGTCTGGGCTGTTATAGTCGACTTGTCTCTGTCCTAATAATTTTGCAGCGTCCATAAATGCTTTTGATAGTTTTGATCTGAAGAAGATAAAAAAATATATATTTACATTTATAAAATTATAAATGTTATAGTTATATAATATACATTGTATACATAAAGAAGCATGTGGTATTTGATTTTCATAGATTTTATGCAGTGGTAGACTGAAATAAATTGTGTTAGCTGTTTAAAGACTCAATTGGTCGTTTAATTGAATTAGTACAGGTCATACCTAAAAGGAACATCCTCTACGCTCAGCTCGCCATCTTTCCCGTGCCACGGGGATTTGTTTAATCCACGAAGTTTTGCTCTCTCGGATTTAATGTAATACGGGATAACGTCGTCGTATGACCTACAACATTATAAATTTAAAAGAAATTAAATACAAGCAGTTATTTAGTATCCTATCCTTCTATTCCTATCATAATGATCACAAAGCGGTTTCTACAAAAACATCGCAATCCGTTAGTATAAATTATTATTTTCACAGGACTCACAGGATATTTAAAAATATATTTTAATTGTAAAAGTTTTTCATTAGAATTATTACAGTCTTTAAGCTGACATTTTGATTTATTTTTTGGTAATTATTATAGACGTATTAAAGGTTTGTGGGATCGTTGTAACTTAATTAGAAAAGTTATTCCAGATTATTATAATTTACCATCCATAATTTCCTTTAGCGGCTATTCGGTCCCAGTCTTCCTTGAATCCTCTTGTGTAAATCATATAGTTGACGACGCTTGTGCCACCGACTGCTTTTCCTCGTGGCCAGAAACAACGGCCGTTTTCCATACCTTAAGTAAACAAACAATTGAAATTGTCATTTTACGATTTCTAATTACTTTATCTCGATTCTTGGCTTGGCTGTCTACAAGTTAGTCTTCCAAAACAATTGTATATTATATTAGCATTATTTTAACACATATAAACTTGAAATTATGATAGAAAAACTCGGCATTTTATCGTTGAAGTTGGCGTCGTTATTTCGATGAGAATTCAAGTAAATATGATGTACATGATGGAACTTATCTCAAATAAGGTATAAAGTATTAAGATAGCAGGATATTAATAGATTTATACATAGAAATACCGTAATATGTTCTAGTTTGATTAGCATTATATTTATTGAAATTCTATTGAACGTATTTTATTTGAAAGAAGACAATTTTTACAAGTTTTGCGACTGTATATAGTATGAGACATGAGTGTTATTAAAAGGTACATATTACTATGAAAATTGTAAAAAAAATATGGGTTAACCCGTTGTATTGGCTAGACCAAACATATTTTATTTTGTAAAAATATTTTAAAAGAATAAGAATTTAAAAATAAAATTAATTATCTAAATATAAGTGACATAATATGCTTAATTATTCCATGACCATGTCTGGATCGCGTGACTTTGAACTGACTTCCTATATAAGAATATGTTTTGTTATTATATATGTAGGCCTGTGGCAATATGAAAATTAAATTAATAAAAATTGAATCAAATTATGATTGAACTTTAGAATTTATTCATACTTCCTTGTCTTATATAAAACATTTTATTCTTTGAGCTTAATTAAGGATATCTATAAATAAATTTGTTTCGTGTATTAATTAATCAAATGAATCATTTAAATCGGATACAAACCCATGCATACTCCTGGCTGATACTCCATGAGGTAAGGCCATACGTAATTAGTTCGTTGTAACATTGGTGCCAGAATGGGTACTCCTGTGAGAATAGCCTCTCCTTGGCCAGCCTCCAGAAGGAGTACCGAGACTTGTTTTCCTTCACTCAGTCTCGAAGCCAGTACACTCCCTGCAGATCCTGCTCCTACTATAATGAAGTCGTATTCCTTCAAAGGACCTTTGAATTCTGTAATAAAATATCCCAAATGTTGAGTAACTAGACAAGCTTTTCGTCGCTTTAGGCTTTCTTAAAGTTTTTTTATTTCGTCATTAGTTACCTATCCTTAGAATCAAGTACAAATACAAAACTGCGACAGAATAAATTTTATTTCAATTATGAAACTGTATACAAATAGTTTTGTTTAAAATATAACGTTATAAAATATGTATATGCACTTGAATTTTCTGAATTCTAAAAATAAACGACTTGAATAATTTTTTAAATAGTTTTATTTTATTAGGTTTTTTTTTTATTAATTGAAGTCCGTCTCATATTCATTAAAACTAAATTTATGTATGAGTCAAATTATTAAAACATCTTGCTCCTTAACGGTATCAGATGTACCTTTGGATGGCCTGACTTCAACTTTTATAAGCTCCGAGTTCATTAACCTTGAAAGATCACGATTATATTATGTATAATATAAGTATGTATACTTATTACATATACATATACAAAAGAGCTTTGCATGTTAAAAATATATTACTTTATTCCTCTCTCTATATGTATATATACTTACATATACACATTTTTTTTCCTTTTTGTCATTTAAGTACTGATAATGAGAATTATAAATTATTTAAAATTCTAATTTAAAGTAAAAAAAAAATCTTACCTTTTGGCAGTTCGTAATTATCTTTGAACGATGCAAATATATTTGGTGTGGGCTTTTCGAACTGATACATTGGAGTTTTCAACATGACATCCAAAATTCTGCTTTTCAAAGGATATCCAGTTTGAGGAAAATGATCATCACAGTAGTTTAGACATGGTTTTGGTTCTGAATAATTATTGCTAAGAAATATATTATTATTAGATGTCATTGCACCTTTTATTAACACAATGTACACTAACAATGTAGTCCTCATGTTTTATTATAATCAACCCTCACGTGTTGAATGTCAAAAAGAGACTGAGAAATCACATTCGAATGTTTAAAATATTTACTCGTTTGGTTTATTTTACCGTTACATCACATTTTTTTATTGTTAATAATTTTAAAACAATTATACAAAAAAGTTAATACTTAAATGTGCCGTTATTCCGTTTCAACTTAAGTAATATTAATGTGTAAATAAACTTTGATTAATCTATAACAAATTATTAAATTTGGTGTGTCTGTTTGTAATAGTAAAATAAATGCTTGTTATGGACAGTACATAACTGCAAATGCGGTACATAATACATATCAATGTAACATTTGTAGAATTTGTGTCTTTCTCTCTGTATTCGGCTGGATCGATTTTGACGAGTCACTGGTACATAGCTGATCTCAACTAACTAACACAAAGAGACTGAGGTCACTTTTATTTTAGTAATATTATTGTATTTCATTAATAAATAATCAAAAGTTAATATTCCGCGCGGACGAAGCCGCGGACACGACTAATTAATTTATAAACCGACATTGTTCTTGTTTTATTATTTTGATACTAAAATGTTCTTAATTAAATGTGTTTCGATAGAGAACCGAGAACAATAAAGTGAATCTGGATTTATTTTTAATAAATATAGGATAGGTGTCAGTGGTGGCCTAGTGGTTAAGAGGCCCGCCTCTCGTTGCTGAGGGCGCGGGTTCAAACCTGGCAAGTACCCATGTGATTTTTCGAAGTCATATGTACTTTCTGAGAGTATTTAGACATCACTGACATACGGTGAAGGAAAACATCGTGAGGAAACCTGGACTTATATAGTTTCACAATTATAAGTTTGAAATCACCAACCCGTCTTGAGCAAGCGTGGTGTTTAATGCTCAAACCATGTGAGAAAGAGGCCTTGCTCAGCAGTGGGCTCTGATAGGCTGATGGAATAGGATAGGTGTCATTTAGGACCACTAAGTGATGCTCTAAACAAGTCATTTATTGTTTGACACCAACTAGTTTAAGGATTTCGTATGTTTTACTAGTAACCGTCAAATAAAATCTATCTCATTCTAGTTGTTTTGTTTGAAGGCACTTCAGAATCTATTCGATAATAAATTTTTTGATAATTTTTAGTAGTATTTTTTTTGATAATTCTAGTACTTTATTTTATATACAAACATTCAATAACAATTTTATCTACACGAACAGGATTCTTTCAAAGTTTTTAGTATTAGTTAAAATTCTGTTACATATAGGTATTGACTTTTCTTTCATTTTGGTATGGTTGCGCAGAAGTCCTTTTTTTGGACGGTAGAGTAATAAATATTTATAACCTATACGAAGAATTTTTATCAGAAATTTTCGCATTTGCAATATGTATAATATTTTGTTATAGTGACTAATTGTTTATAACTGCAGCAGTACGCGAATGTAACAAAACGGGATTAATGTTCTTATATGTTTATTATCATGACCTTTGTCTAAAGCGTAGTTTCCGAAAACAAGGATAACCACTCCATTTAAAAAACTGAATAGTTTGTTAATTTTTTTGCCTGGCAATCCTAAAAAAATCTTAATGAACTACTTAAAATTTTTAAAAATAAAATGTAAATGAAGATGATATGCCGTTTTTTTTAAGTCTTATAAGTTAGGTACTAAAATATTTTTCAAAAGATTTTCTTAATATTTAAGGTTTATGAAAGTATGTTTTAATGATGATGTTGGCGATTTATACAACAAATGGCTAAATAAGTTAATTCTTAGAGCAAAAATTATTATCAGATGGATATAGGATGAAGTCTGAATATTGTCGTTTAATCATATAATATATAAAGCTTAATAAATTTAACGATATCATGATCCAACTAAACTTTTAAATTAAGGAATACTTTTTAAACTGTTACATTTAGAGTCAGTTAATATTAATACCTTCACATTAAATTCTTTAGGGCCTTGTTTTGGCCTTGGAACTAAATTAATAAAAAAAAGGATTTAACAAAGAGACATTCGCTTTGACTCTATTTTCGTTTATACACAGGGTGACTGGTGAATTACTATCAATATTTAAGGAGAATACTCGGTACATGATGCTCATTCGAATTATGTAAAAAAAATAGGTACTTAATTTTTGACCAAATTTCCGTATAAATAAATAAAGTGTGGACACGTTCCAAGTGTTCCAAGTGTGGACGAGTGCGGCGGCGTGCTGATACAACACCACGCCGCCGCGCGCGAGTGTGTGTGTATGTATACCTAATCTGTAGGGTGTTCACACGATGCGTAATTAATTACATAACTTTTGATTAACTTTACTTAGAAGTTTATTAATATTTATGTTATATTAATTTTTATTTTGTCATATATGATCGTCAAATATCACGTCCTCAAGTATCGATAGTAATTCACCAGTCACCCTGTATATGTATATTTTATTTGGTGAGGACAAGTTGATAAATGGTTTAAAATGTTTTTACGTTTTATAATGTATGAAAAATATTATTTGTATAGATGCTGAATGCTCGTTGTGAGGTCACTATTGTTTCATCCGTTTTATTAGATAATGAACACACTTTAGCTCCCTATGGTGTCTCTGTCATCACATTACAATATGATACTGCAATTGACGATATTAATGTGTAGATTATAATTACGTAAAGTCAATTAATTTAATAAAGCATTAAAAATTCTTATGAAGCTCAGTTTAGGCTTAATATTTTTTGTTACGAGTTATTATTATGAGATATTTGTAAAAATAATGAGATGATATCAGTGAATTCTCGAATGATATTTCCACAATTTTTTTTGTCGTATGAGGACGGTGTTATCTCAATTTATTAAGTACAAAAACTGTATATATGTGTATCAAATGGGCTGTTCCGATAATGCAAGGATATTAGTATAGATATAATATGTTACACATGTTTGGGCCTAAAATTCCATAACAGTGTTATTACACTTTATATGTCGCTTCTAGGTGTAGTTTTTGATACAAAGTGTATTTGAGTCTATTACAAATGTTAATTTCTGGGTACGAAATTTTATTTTGTGTTTATATTAAGTACCCCACTTATGTATTTAATTTTTAAATAGTGCGTGATATATATTTTATGTCTACAATTAAAAGTGTAATAATTTTTAATGATTACGCCATAAAAGTTTAGTTTGGAGTTTGGAGAGTAAAGAAATCTCATTCGAATTAATTAAATTTTGGTAATTATTCCAACAAACTGTTATTAGAAAATATATATGACAGCGTATAGATTTGTAGAGGTTAACATAATAATTCTAAGCGGTCTATGCTGAATACAAAATCTTATAAAAGAATGTATATTAAATCTATAGTCTATATTGTATTAAATTACCACAGTAGGAAAGTAATATTTAAAAAGATAGCTCTTAATGTTTTGCTTGCCAAAGGCCTGCAATAATAATTTTAGCATTTTCATACGCGTAGTGAAGTTGTCTCAAAAAATTATAGGCGCATATTATGTGAACACTTCTACTTTGATAGAACCTATTTGAATATTTCCTACTTATACACTTATTACTATAATCAGTACAAAATTTACTTGGTTTTTACTTATTTAGTTGGGAAAATGTTATAAAAAAAACTATACAATAATGTATTAATTAACTTACAATATATTTAAAATGAGTTATTAGTGTTACAGATATCACCAGTTTTATTTTACAAATAATAATTCGTTATTCTTATTTACATTCTACTTAGATAAATAATGCGTGTTATATTTTAGTATACCTCAGGTATCCATCGAATAGTTAGATTAAATTAAAACAAAACTTAAATCACTATTCTCATTTGAAATATACGTTCCAATCGGTTTTTAAAGCACCGATTATATTTCTTTCTCCTTTGTCTTCAACTTATTCAGTAACCAAATTTACCAAACACAATTGATTTTAAAACAAAGTCATCAAAGATATGATAAGTTTATTGCTGTCTTACGATTATTTATAATTTTTTAAATTCCATATCATTTACTATGCCTATTTAATTTATTATATATTCCATGTTTTTCTTATCATATCCGCTGCCTTATAACCTATCATAATGGCTGGACCATTTGTATGTGCTGATATAGTACGAGGAATGATACCTGAGTCAACAACTCTTAAGTTTTTCATACCTCGAACCCTTAATTCTGGGTCAACTACAGCATATGGGTCATCATCTGGACCCATGCGCGTGGTGGCTATTTGATGGTGCAGGGTCGCAGTCAATGTACGTAACGCACATTCCCAGTATTCATCTGTATCAGGTACGTACTGTAAACAGGTTTTAAATTTTGGTAGGTAGGTTTTGGCTCCATATTTTTGGAAAGCAGGCGTTGCTGCTAATGCTTGAATATGCCGGAATGATGCTACAAAGGTAGCAACGTCACTCGGATCAGTCAAATAGTTACCATACATTTTCGGATGACTTAAGGGATTATTATCTCTTAGTTTAATATGACCATATGATTTGGGATGTATCAGGAGTGGGAAAATAGACCATGAATCTTGACCATCGATAGGTCCATATGCTTCATCAAAAAGAGCTTCAGATATTCTCATACCCCTCCTCACGGCCCTGCTTGCACCAACACCACCGTCAGATAATATAGAGCCTCCGATATTTATAAGTTCAATATCTGGCACTGTAGGGTCGGGATCGTTGGAAACTGGAGTTCGGATATACCCAATACCTTCTACTGCACCAGGTGTTGAAAGTAGATTATCCCCGTGTTGTAGCCAGTCTAATATGACCTTCAGAGATACATCTCTATTCTCAATGAAACTGATTTCTGTCGTGTTCAATGTGAATACCAAACCCGGGAAACAAATGTGATCAAAAAGTCTTTGTCCTACTTGGAGGTCTTGTATGACTGGTATTCCCACGGATTTTAGATGTTCTTCGGGTCCAATACCAGATAACATTAGCAGCTGTGGCGAGGCTATGGGTCCGGCGGACAATATAACTTCTTTGCGTGCGAAAACTGTGTGGAGGAGGTCATTTCTTATATATTCTACACCGTATGCTGCTTTTGTTACAGGGTCTATTAATATTTTTGTTGCTCTACTCTCGGGTAAGATATGCAAGTTTGGTCTATTTTTATGACCATGAAGAAAAGATTTTGCAGCACTAAATCTATGTCCTCTGCTCATTGTGGCTTGTACACGTCCGAAACCAACATTTTCTGGTGCATTATAATCGACTGTTGGAGACCCAAGCATTTCACCAGCTTTAAGAAATGCCTCAACTAACCTCGTCCTGTAAAAGAGTATACAGTACTTTAGATATTTTTATATATGTATATATTTTCAACCTATATATAAAAGTAACGTTTTGTTTATTAAAATATTTACTATTATAAACAGCGTCGTTATTAAAATATAACGTTATAAAATTTTATAAGTGATAATATAGTGAAATTTATTGTTACTAAGAAAACTTTCGTAAACTTACTTTATGGGTGGAAATTCCACAGGCAGGTCACCATCACGACCTCGGTGCGGCGCCTTCTCGTAGCCCTTCAAATCAGATTTCTCCATTTCGATATAATACTTGAGAACATCATTGTAAGACCTGTGAAGAAGTTTAATAGAATATAGCCTATTGTCAGTTATACTAGAACAACACAAATTTACACTAATAACATTTTTTGTTAGTTTTTTTATAACACAATTATGCTAATTTTTTATTTAATATTAGTCCATTGCACTTGTATATTTTATTTCCTTATTTATAACAATGTTGATATAAACATTGCACTTCGAACATTTGTGTTTATAAAACTTATAGCAAAAAGACAATATCATAACTTTAGAAATGACATTTTGTGTATTATTTTTATTATACACACTTATTATTTCAGTAGTCTGTGACAACCATAATAATTAGTAATGAAACATAGTCGTATGTACAAGATCAAATTTGGGAGTGCACTCCATGATATATTTTTGGCAGATAGGCATGTGTTTGGAATACCAACAATACAATATATTATGACTGAGACATGCTTCTGCATATTAAGTTCTTAATATTTTTATATATAATTTCCTTGAAAACAGTGATGTTAAATTTTATTAATCAACGTATAGATAAATATATAATCCTGGTTTTCACTTGATATCTTTATATATAAAAGATAGTCGTGTTAGTCACACTATTTATAATTCAAGAACGGCCATACGGGTTATGCTGAAAATTGATAGAGAGACGACTTAGAACCAGGTAAAGAACATAGGATACTTTTCATGCTATTGAAAAAGTTGTTAATCCAAAATTTTGTTATACATTTTTAATTTTGAAAGTAACGCATGCGGAGTCGCGGCCAAAAGCTAGTGTATATATATTTTTTAATATACCATCCGTAATTTCCATCTGCTGCTATTCTGTCCCAGTCCTGTGGTCTGCCTCTGGTGTAGATCATGTAGTTAATGACGCTAGTTCCGCCGACTGCTCTGCCTCGAGGCCAGAAGCAGCGTTGATTTTTCATACCTTGGATGTTATATCCATATGTAATTGTTTCTTAATAAAAACCAGTTCTAACTAGTCTAACCTCGAAGTCAGTATAAATTACGAAACTGAGATTTAATATTAAATGCAATTTACTAAATTATTTTCAGGCGCTATATATGAAAACTAAAAGAAATGATTTTAAGGTGGTTTTTTTTCTAAAAGCTATATTAATTAATTTAACAGTAAAGGGGCAGATTTAGGAACGTCCTAATATAAATAATGAAAGTAAAAGTAATGTTAAGCTCAGATACCCATGCAGACTCCTGGTTGAGGTTCCATGTAGTAATGCCAAACATACTGTGTGTCTTGAAAATATGGTGCCACAGCTGGAACATCTGTTAACAGCATTTCTGGCTTTCCAGCTTCTATGAGTAACACAGTCGTATTTCTGTTTCTGGTAAGTCGTGACGCTAAAGCGCTGCCAGCAGAACCAGCTCCCACGATGACGAAATCATATTCAGAATATGGTTCTTTCAAGCCTGTTGTAGTAAATAAAGAAATTCTTATTATCAATAAAAATTTAAATGGAAAAAAGAAGAAATTCCTTGGTGACATCTATATTATAAAAGAGCTATTAATCTTTATCAAGCATGACTCAGTAGGTGGTTCTTTTTCACCTAAACGGTCCTTTATTTTCCATTTGTGTAATATAATCAGGAAGAAATAATAAACATAAGCAAGCATGCATTTTTGAAATAAAATATAAACAATCATTGTAAGTTTGACGATATGTTCGCATTGCTTAAAAAATACTTAATTAGTAACTAATATTGATTTATCTAAAATGTATAACACATTAAAAAAAAACAAAAAAAAACAACAGTGATCTTTATAACGGTATGCGGATGATATTCCGTTATTAAAAATTTCCGTTAATCAATTTCCGTATGAGATGTATGCATCCTAATTGGTTTTTATAAAAAAAATTGAAGATGTTTCAAGGAATAACGTTTTAGGCAGAGATTTAGTGTCAAAAGATTACTAATGATTATTGTTTAATTTCAGGTATGTGTATTGATGACAAATATTTTCTACCTCTATTAGTCCTGGTAAGTCCTTTTTTGAGGGTATATATATACATATATAAAGTTAAATACATTACCGAAAGGCGCTATATATATATATATATATATATATGTATATATATATATATCATTTCATTTTTTAATACGGTAGTCGCAATTATATGTAACGATACTAGGATTTGATCCTACATAATATATGTCTCAGCTGAGAAGAATTCATGTTTTTTTCCTATCAGCTAGTATTACAAAGTGGAATTTTAAATACAGTTTTACAATGCTTCAAAGGTGCTTTACTTACATACCTTTTATACAATATATATAAGTTTCTTACAATCTTGTTATTTTTATTTTTTAGTCTGTTTCATTGAACTTGTGTATCGTAATTAAAAATTATATATAAAGGTTACAACATAGCAATGTCAGATTCTAAATCTTTAGGTATTAAACAAAACTGGTTATAACTTTATAAATGTCATACTTCTTCTTTACTTAAATTGAAATTTATTTTCGAGTTTTTAATATTTTTATATATTTTAAAATTGTGTGTTATGAAGAACAATATGTAATATTTATCTTGCGAATTCAAAAGCTTTTTGCATGAAATCACAACAATCGTTACCATATATTCTTAGATATAATAGATTTTCATTTATAAGTTTTAAAAATATTTAGTATTACATATTTATAAAACAAAGTAAATCTAGATTTTTTGCTGGCAGTTTTTGTTATTTTTATATCATTTGTAACATTAAAGTCATTATTATTTCAGCAATTTTACTTGTTAATTGTCAATAATTATTCATTTATTAAGAAGTGATTCGCCTTCGCCCTTCAAAAATTACAGCATTTTCGCTAATAATATTAGAAGTTTAATAAGTAATAATAATATATTAAGTTTATTACATTTATATGGCGTTTTTATGGTTTCACATGTATATAATCACTAAATAGTTTAAAACAAAGTCTCCACCCGCGTCCTTTTTGTTTCGTTGCGTATATTTAACCTCGCAAACTCTAGAATAAACGTTCTTAATAAAAGCATTTTAATATGTTGTGAGATTGTGTATCTATTATATATATTCGTACATTTTTTTTTAGAGCAACGAGGTTATAATACAATTAGTAATAAGAATATAATTGTTTTCTCTTAATTTAATAGAGCATTCAAAAAAGTTTTACACATTTTTCAAGAGATATATTTTTCTATTCATAATGAAAAAAACAAAACATTACATCATCATTCAATCATTCATTCATTCACCATATAGTTCAAAATGGAATATTCTACATAAATTAATTATGCGTATTAATTAGTGCAGATAATATTTTTCGCAGTGAACGATTTATAAAAATGCAGTGCTCGTAAATAGCATATTAAAAATTAAAATGCTTTTAAATAAAATATTTACCTCTCGGCAAAGGGTATGAATCCCGGAGGAAATCGAAAAAATCTCCACCCGCGTGAGGATTCGCTCCTACTGCACTCATAATCTTGTCAACAACAGGATTTCTGTACTCCGGCCAGAACAGTTTTCCAGATCTCTCATCATCTTCTTTAATATCACTTGATACTATATTTATGCACGATATTATTAATAGAATAATTTTTGTCATTATCATTGTATCTAAGTTACCCAAAGCAGGTACTGGCTCTACTGAGGGCTAAACTGTTACTGACATTTTATATCAGAACGTTTCTCGGTTGCTTTTTATCAATCTCAAGAATTTATTCCACTATACAAGTATAGGACCACATTTGTGTGAAACCAGGTCTTGATTGTAGCTTTGCTTGCTTTTTTATTATTGTTGTTTTTTATTGTTAAATTAATTATTCTTTGTTGTGGATAAACTGTACTGTGTGAACTTTTCTGTGTCCTTGACAATATGTATATACTTGCTCAGTGGCTTATGCAAAACTAAATAACGAACAAACTGATTGAACCACTAGAATTTTATTTAGTTAATAAATTAACATAGCCACTAGAATACCGTAAATGACCCAATTATTAGTTATTTAGAATATTTGGTAGCGTTATTTTTACCATCTCACATAAATTTACATATATATATATATATATATATATATATATATATATATATATATATATATATATATATATATATATATATATATATATATGTATGTATATTTATATATATTTGTTTTGTATTTTACTTATATATTTATCAATAATATATATATTTAATAAAGATTTAATCATAAAATTCAACGTAACAACGTCGGATGCTTTATGCAATATATAATTTTCATATGATTGTATATGCACGAATCTATTTTGATAATAGCCACTATATGATGGTACATAAAGATATAATTTCGCCATGATTATTATGAAAAAAAAAAATGTTCAACATTTTTGACCTCATCGCGGTTCATTGACTCGCGAATATATAAGGGCTTTGACCCGTACTATAGCAGGACTTGTTTGTCGTACATAATAAGCAAGTATTAATCAAACATTTTATTATATTAGTAGGTCATATAAGATTTTTAGAAAGTGTGTAATATTTTAGAATAAAATCCGGTTTTTACTGAAAATTAATTTATGGATAGTCCTTTAATTATTTTGTTTTTAGCTTTAAAGTAGTGTTTTCTTTTTGATGGAATATATTTTGTTAAGACCGGTCGTAAGACTTGGAGGAGAGAAATCAAGGACTATTTAATGACAAAAAAAAAAAATATCTTATAGTGCAATCATTTTTAAGTATTAAAAGATCTTTTTTTAATTACGATCGTATATATTATTTTTATGTATGATACTGACAGAAGTTTTTTTTAGTAATTTTGCATTCCAAAGGGTCTGTTAATACATGTTTTGTACCTTTTTCGTAAACCTTTTTGGGATTAGGGTACACTTCAACGATAACAAGGATGACGTTATATATGATGTTATATAAACAATTTTTATTTATCTTGATAATTTACTTATATGCAGTACTGCTACTGTTAATATTTTAGTAATTTTAATACATACAAAACCAGCTGGTAAGATAGATCTCGTTGATAAATAAACCAGCAATGAATATTCTTTTTGAATTAGGTCTTTGTCATCCATTCAATATTGTTTGCAGAAAAAGAAAACCTCTAAAGGTAATAATGCACTTGATATATGCTATATTTTTAATGAATTACATGTCTAAGCATTTTGATTTCCTCGGGGGATGAATAAGGATGCTTGAGATTCTTTTAAAAATAATACTGCATATAGATCTCTTGTTCAAAGTAGTTGTTTGGAAGAAGACTGTTACATTATTTTATAACGAAGCAAATTAAATGACTTTGCTTTCTTTGTAAGAATATTATTTGATCTCACAGTAATTTTGCTCATTATTTGAACGATATTGAAGTGGCTAAAAATCACTTGTTATTCCATTTTCGACTTTTTGGAACAGGTAAGTTAAGAGTATTAAAATTTTCTTATAATCTCTCCCTCTTTTTCTCTATATCTATATATAAGAGGAATTCGTATTAGTTACACTACCTCTAACTCAAGAGCGGCTGTACGGATTTGGCTGAAAATTTGTTGTTAGGTAAGTTGGAATCAGGAGACGGAAATAAGATAATTCAGAATTCGTTGACCAAAGAAAAATTGAAAATAAAATACAAAATCTGTTTATTTACTGCCTCTAAATCGAAATAGTTCGTCTGGTCAGCTGATATACATTTCTAATTATGAAACTAATGTGGTCAAAGTCGCGGGCAAAGGCTAGTATATATTAAGAAGCTAAAAATTCTTGAGAGTCGATCCGTTTTTTTGGTATATACAGGGTGACTGGTGAATTACTATCGATACTTGAGGACGTGATATTTGACGATCATATATGACAAAATAAAAATTAATATAACATAAATATTAATAAACTTCTAAGTAAAGTTAACCAAAAGTTGTGTAATTAATTACGCATCGTGTGAACACCCTACAGATTAGGTATACACATACAATCACACATACGCGTGCGGCGGCGTGGTGTTGTATCAGCACGCCGCCGCACGCGTCCATTCTTGGAACGTGTCAACACTTTATTTATTTATACGGAAATTTTGTAAAAAATTAAGTGCCTATTTTTTTTACATAATTCGAATGACAATCATGTACCGAGTATTCTCCTTAAATATTGATAGTAATTCACCAGTCACCCTGTATATATAGGTATGTATTTATTTTACGGTTCTGACGTAGTTTAAACTGAAATAACGGTAATAACTCGTGACTTAATAATTTTCTTTTTTGTATTCATCTTATTTCGGGATTAAAACTGTCATATATTCAACAACCCTTTATATGTCAAGGCATGTCATGATTTAAAAATAAATTTATATACTTATAAAGTAGCTATACTTTATAGATGCTTTTGTGGTACTTTTTGAAAACATTTTTCAACTCAATACACATTAATAAATACATATATTCGAGTATGTGTGCGTAAAGGATTAATTGGGAGTTGAATCGTTTCTAAAAAAAAGATTTGGCATGACCGGATTTTGTTTACCGGAGCTAAAACATCTTTAAAGGCTTTTTTCTTTTTGGATACTCTTTCAAACGGGTAAAAAACAAAAACAGTTTTTGTACCTATATCTCCAAGTGTCAAAACAATGACGACGCTCTGTTTGAAACGGAGTTCACTTTATATAAGAATTTGTATATTACGTTTCGAGGTGAACGAATTTTTATGTTGGTAAGAATTAAGTGTGCACATATGTAAGATTTATAACCGTTAGGCTGGTGGTTTTACAGTTATCCAATTATTGTGGGGCCGTCAGAGTGAGATTAATCGGTATCAGTAATCAGTACGTTTAAGGATAAAACAAATATATAAATAAAGAAATATATGGACCAGACAAAGCATCATATCACTATTTTTTATCAAAACTTATTATACTATGATGAATGTTTATTTTTATGTAAAGTTATGGAATACCATATGATATTTATCGTAAAATTTTATATATATATGTAAAGGAAATAGGCTTATAAACATCTATATATATATATAGATGTCTATATATTCTGTCGCGTTCCTATAGTAGGACTAGTACAATATCAGCATTCTGTACAGTAGATATAATTATTTTTAATCATCGTTTTATAATTGATTTGTTGTTACAGAACTAGTAATATAATGACAGTAGCCTCGATATATGAATATTATATTTATTTTATACTAGTGTTTGCCTGCACCTCAATCTCGTGAATTTCGGAATAAAGCTGAATGAGAAATGTATAGACTGTATTAAAATAATATAATATAAAAATCAATCGGCAGCGACATCCTATATTGTGTCACGAATTTCTTCATTAATTCTATCTCAAGTGTTATTCTGATGTTTGGACTACATTACTGTAAAATTTCATGGAAATCAGTCAAATGGTTTTTGCCTGAAAAACTAACAAACATCAAAATACAAACCAACAACAATATATAACACACATAGCATGTATGGCATACAAGCTTCTGCATTTATAGTATGACTAAGACCACCGTATTATAAAATTATATTACAGTTTAATTTATTTTAAAACAATTAAATAATTACTCGTACGATTTGATACGTGAGAAACTTTTTGTTATAATGAATGGTATTCGTTGGCAATTTAATTTTGGATCATGGCAATTTTAGAAAAATAATAATTAAAGACTTTATTGTATGTGAAGCAACGAAATAGTGATTGCTTTTGAATGTAAGTGTTATGTGGCATTATAGCTGTGTAACTATTACTAAAACTAGGGCTGGACAGGCCATGGAAAATTCTGATCGGATGATTTATGGTCTGTAACCGTAAACTCTGAACGTGAAATGTTTGTAGACGTCGTCATGACGACATTTTTACTTGAACAACAAATTTAGTATTTTTTTACTATCATTGCTAGAGTATCAAAATAAGTTCTAGTTCTAGTACATGTTGATAGTTAATAAAGTTATATATAATTTTATTATTATTGTATTAAAATTACATTACATTAGTAATTTGTACGATTTTTTTTAACATGCAATATTCTTCGTTATATGATGAGTAAAAATAAAAACAAATGGGTATAAATTCCGTGTATCAATTATTATTATTGAACATAACAGTATTTATGGTTTAGAGTTTGTGTTATTTTAAGGGGAGTGTAGTATAATTTGTTTGTTGAGTCGATTAAAGAACTTGATGCTTTACTCATACCATCATTTCTGAAAATCGATAACCGCTCAACGTGCTTTCGAACATTGACGTCACACAACGTAAGGCTTATCATTTTGTTGAACAAAGACTTAAAATATTATTTCAATAAAAGAATATTGATACATTTCTTCACCTAGCTTTCCTACTTCATTATTATTCTTCTCTTCTTCGTCTTCTCTCTGTAATGAAAACCAAATAAACAGCAGTCTTTTATAAACATTCGAATTGAAACTTTATGTATATACTCCCATAGTATACAATATAGTACTTATTTATTTTTAAATATTAATGTTAATTTTACAAATTAGATAATTATAAAAAATAACCATCGTATTATATTAATATTTATTAAACATCATTCATAATCGTTTATATTAAGAATTAAAAACAATTGTTAAGTCTTCACTTAACAAAAATTTGATAACACAAATATATAGTGTAATTATCATATATATATTTTTTGTTTTTAATCTCATATGATTGTCAAGCGTAATAAATAATATAAGAAGAATCTTAATTTAAGAAAGAATTCAACTTCACACTCAACATAACATGTCAACCAAGCTTGCGAAGGGTACAATTAATTTGCCTGTAATCCATATTTATTATAATAACTACTATTAAGTGCCTTGGAGACCTTTCCTTGATTGTATCTCTACGTTGTTATTATTTGTCGAACTTTATTGCTGTATGTAAGAATGTGGTCTCTATTTTTTTTATTTTACTTTTAGTAAATGAAACCAAATTCGCTTAATGCGATAAATGTTTCTTTTATGTTATGGCTTGTTTTGTGCTAGAATCTCACGTTGCCGCTTCTGATTCTGTATAATTCCATTCCCTTAATTTATCATTGACGTGCTCATATGTTGGTATGTAACTTTTCTTGCGTATTTTTTTTAATATATAATTATATATATAAAGTTATAGCTGCGAAATTTTATTGAACATTTTTATATAACATCATAGCTGCGAATTTTTTATTCATAATATTTTAGTCTTTCCATATTTGCTTGTTACCTTTATATTTTAAGTGCCCTCTAGCGGCGAGTAAAATTATTAATTCTCTCTGCGAAATCCATTACTGTGCTATAGATATGTTTGTAATGGTTTTAACGTTCGTCGTAAGATGGAGCTGCTGCTGATATTTTGAAGTCAAAAATGTAATTGGTTACTTATATTTTAATACTTTCGGTTTTCATATATTGGATACACAAACTAATGTGTTACTAGGAAGAAATAAATTTGGTAGATTATATAATTTTTTCTTTAAAAGTGTGTATGTATAATATAAAATAATGATGCGATGCTTAGCGATGCGATGCGAGCTCATTATATTTTACAACCATTTATTACACAGATACCTTAATTTCAATGTATTTCAGTTACATTATTTTATTATACATTGAATAGACGACAGGTTTAAAAGAAAATTTACTGAACATTTGTGATGATCTTATTAGTTATTTTTTTTAAAAAGGGTGATAAATGAAACAGATCTATAATTATACTTTTTATTTGTTAACTACACACCGTGCTATTTATTAGCCTATTATAAAATAAATAAACCTTATTCTATTTGTACATATACATATAACTGAGACACCATACTAAAATAATTAAAAATTAGAACATCACAATAACATTACAACCTAAGCTTCGGGTAGTAAGGATAATTATATTTGCGGATTTATTCATAAGCATTTTACATAATTACAGTTTTGCTACAATTTTTTCCTAGGATCACTCTTCAGAATATCATAAATGCAATCAGATGCTATTAAGTGAAATTTGAAGATATAATTTTATTTAAATTTTCAAAGATTTTTTCTAATAAATGCATTGCACTTTTACTTTATATTTATTTATATTTGGTGAGGTAGGGTTTTTTGATTTTTAATATACCAAAAATGTTTATTATTAAAGTGAATAGGGGTGATCAGCTTAATTTATGTCACAGTAAGAATGCTTGTAGGACTACAATCCATCACAGCCAACAGTCTAGTTCCATTTACATGTTCTGCGACTTTCTCCCCCAGTCTTCTTTAATCATGTCTGCGCCTTTTTCTGCTATCATGAATGTTGGGGCATTTGTATGACTTGAAACAATTTCTGGCATTATACTAGCATCGATTACTCTTAGATTTTCTATACCATGTACTCTTAGTCTAGGATCTACAACCGCTGTAGGATCACTTTTGACACCCATTTTACAAGTCCCACTTTGATGGTAAATTGTAAAAGTGAACATTTGTGCCTGGCACGCGAAGTACTCGTCACTACCGAAAGGCCCATACTTCAAACAGTCAGCGATAGGAACGTCATACAGTTTCGTTTGTATCTTTTTCATTGCTGGTTGACGAGTTATCTCAATAGCCACTTTGATGCCTTCCACAATTTTTTGCAAATCTTCTGGATCATCAAAGTAGTTTGGAATTAATACCGGATGTGACTTTGGATTTCTGTTTTGTAACATAACCCTGCCTTTTGATTTTGGTCTCATCAGCATTGGAAAAACCATAAAAACTTCATTATTACCTAGAGCTGTATAGGTGTCTGTAAATATTTGTTCATCGAAACCAAAATTTCTTCGCAACAGAGGATCTGAATTTAATCCCCCACTTATAAATAGTAGTTCTAAGTCCGGCCAGCCGCTTACGTTAAATCTATCTTTTAAATCTAAAAATACTAATGCTTCGCAACCACCAGGTACAGACAACGGTCCTTTATGATTCCGCATCCACTTAAATACCAATTCTAAATGGTTTAAAATATACCCCGTAGACAGACTAAGGTTTTGTTGTTGAACCATAAATTGGACTCCACCGGCGGCAATGTGGTCCATTAAATTATATCCTACAGGCAAATCTTTCACAACTGGTATGTTAAGTGACTCTAAATGCTTTTTAGGGCCTATTCCTGATAACATGAGGAGTTGAGGTGAATTGATTGCCCCAGCCGATACAATGACTTCTTTTTTTGCTAATACTTTATAGCGCTTTCCTCGTTTCTCGAATTCGACTCCAATCACACGAGTTTTTGTTGTATCGAACAGTAATCTCGTAGCCATGCTAACTTTAGAAACGTGCAAATTATTTCTTTTCTTTATAGGATGAAGATATGCTCGACTGGAACTGTGTCTTGTTCCGTTCTTCATAGACAGTTGTAGAAAAGACACACCACTTGGATTTTGTCCATTGTAATCATTATACTTAAAGCCTAATTCTTGGGCCCCTTTAACCCAAGCTTTTCCTTTTGTTGTACGAAATGGTGCATACTCAACATTAACATGGCCGTCATGGCCGTGATATTTAGGGTCGTCAAAGGAGGGTATGTTGTAATTTTCAATTTTTTTGAAATAATCCAATACATCGTCCCATCCCCAGCCTTCATTACCTTTTGATGCCCAATTGTTATAATCATTTGCAGCCCCTCGAGTGTATATCATATAATTTAGAACACTTGATCCACCGACAACTTTTCCGCGTGGCCAATTACATTGCTGATTTTCGAAACCTGCACAATATTTTTTCGAGGGTTTCGTTTTGTATCCCCAGTTCGCTTCAGTGAACTGCAGATAATTTGCAAGAATTGGTATATCCATAACATAGTTCTCATTAACCCCAGCTTCTAAGAGTAGAACTTTCACGTCCTTTAATTCTGTTAATCGATTAGCCACAACGCACCCAGCTGTTCCCGCACCAACAATAATGAAATCGTACTCCGTTAACAAATTAACTTGATCGGGTGGTTCATTGTCTCTTTGATTCGTACCTTCTTGTAAGAAATTCATAAACGATGATATCGGGTTGACGGACTGAAGTTTGCTCGGTGATGGGAATAGTAAAACTCCCAACAGAACCTCTAAAAATAGAATCCAATAGCTCCACATCTGAAACGAATAACAAAAACAATTATAATGTTATCGATAACAGCAACTGTTCTAATTCATTTGTTTTATATAGCTTCATTTCTAAAATTAAATACAATTTAAGCAAAATTTACAAAATAGCCATGATACTTTCACCAGATCCGGATATTATATTTTCCTCAAGCAGATAAAGTTATTATTAACTTTTTTGCCTACGCTAGCCATATAATAACAATAAGGCTACTTTATTTAAATCTAGTAATTTTTATGATTTTAATAAAATAAATTAGTTATAGTTACTACTTATTACGTTGAATGTAATTATATCGAAGGGTATATAATAGGGAAAAGGAAAATTCTTGTAAATCCCACTTGGTTTCAATAACTATGTTTTTAGTCTCTTCCTTGTATGGTGACGCCCCAATAAGGTCTAAGAGTAGACGTCTGAGTGTTTTTAATATAAAAATAATGAACTACATACATTATGGTATATGATAATTACGTATACTATGTATGTATATGTAGTTAACATATACTATATAACTAAATATAGTATATATTTAGTCATTATACGAAAAAAATCCAATATGTCTATTTATAGATTGTATGAAAAGTAAAGAAAAAATGTTATCGCCTATAAACATACTATTTCGTGATTTAATAAACCACATCCATCAATTACAGGTAGTGTAATTGTTTTACGCATATTTTAAAATGGGAAACTTACTATGAGGGTTTTCCAACAACAGAACTTCGTGACCGGATATGTCCAATCATGTAATTTTATATTTCTTTAAACATTTTCTTGTCTGTGTCAGTACTCAATTGTGTTATGAGCATCAATGTGAGAAGAAACATGATAATTACGATACGGTCACTCACTTACTTCATTATATATGAGTATAAACACATACAAACATTTATAAATGCATGATATTAGAAGTTTTACATATTATTACACATTTAATTTGATAGTTAGATATATTATATTAAATTGTGATGACAAGTAAATGCAATGGTCGCAATTTCCTGTTGAAGTTCTTGAATCAGATCCTTGCCCCCTAACGGACGTTTAAAACTAACCTTAGCCTGGATAACGTATGTGAATAAAAATTGTATAGTTAGCGGGCTATTGAGGCTGTGATTATTATAATTAATTAATAAATAAATACAATATAATTAATATTGAATTAATTTTGTTATGAATACAAGTACTTACCATCAGATAATTATTGTTATATTTAATATACATATGTATAATTTTATTAACAGAGTATCTATAATGTTGGTGAAATCAGTTCTTTAATGTATTAAATTGGTAGCCTAAACTAATAAGTAGGTAAATAGAAGTAGTAACCTTCATTACCTAAGTTGCACATGTTTCAGCATTTTTTATCTGACTCTTAATGGATTAAGAGGATTAAAGTATTGTGATTTAAAAAAATCTTTACTAAATTAACAACTGTTCATAAACAACAGGTCTCGTAGATATGTTACATTCGTTGTGAAATATATGTGTAATATAATCGCAAGAACCATATAATATGCATTATCTTGGTATGTAGTAATGTGTGATAAGTATTATGTAACGCTTTGGTTTGTTCGCTTCAAGATCAAGGTTCTGTTTTATTTTCGATACATGTCTCTATATAAAATACAAGTCTCCGGTTCGATAACACCAAACCAGATAAAATTTGTGAATATGATTAAAATTTACTACATGTCTGATGGTTTGTTTCTAAGTATGTATATCTTGTAACTCGCGATGGATCAACTTCACTATCTTTGTCACAGTCATCTCACTTAATAGTGTCAACTTAGGTCTGATTAATTATAATTATATATAATAACTGGAAACGCTCCGTATTTAATGTTAAGATACGAACATGTGGTAAACCTTTGAAACCGGTTGCGTCTCTTTCTTTTAAATTTCAATCTTTACTCGACTATTTTAAATATATTCAAGTTAAATATGAATAATAAGTGTGGGTTTTAGAAATATATATTTAAATTCGTTATAATATTCAGATGTTATTTTTTAATTTTAAATTGTTTGAAAGGTTTGAAAAGTACTGCTTTTAAGGTACTGTCTGCAGATCGATTGAATATTTTTATTATATAATTAGAATATTTTATAAAAGTTTATTGTGTCATCCAAATTTTTATGCCATTAATGTTAGTGAAGTTGAGTTTTGTTCGTTAATTTTTACATTCCGTTTTGTTATCAATTACATTCAGTTGTGCAATAACTCAACCTTGAACAAGCCGACTTATTTATAAACATTAATTCAATCTAAATTTGTATATATTTAAAAATAGCAAGATCTTCTAACTGTTCGTGTTCGAGATGTTTAATGTTATATTAGATAATACAATTTATTTTAAAATAAAACAAATAAAGTTTAAATTAATTTTAAAATATTACAGTAGGAATACCTACATATATTAAGAATTTTGCACTACATTATTTGTATTATTAATTTGTGTTGCTATAATATTATATAACTACATTAACATAGTAGTCCAATGTAAGTTGTCAATCCTGTTATTTTAATAATTTGTTCTTGTTTAGACCAATGACTTATTAAAGGATAAAACCTTGATACACAAAGGGTTACTTTGTTACAACTGGGTCTATAAGCGGATAATTGATATGTGCCAATAAATGTAGGTAACATAATTGATCGTTTGAAATTAAAAAACCCTTTGCAATGTTATTACTTAACTGTAACAAAGCCAAATAAATGATCTGTTTTTGTCTTTCTTCCGATTACGTTTATTAAAATAAATTTCACCATTTTCTTCTATAATTGTGAATATAATAATTTAAAAGTATATTGTCGATTTCAACGAATGCAATATAAAGTGCATGATACAAAAATATAATAAAAATGCCTTAGCTACGGTGAACTGATTGCATAAATCCATAAATGTATATAAAAAAATTGCTTCTTCTTCTTATTGCAAATTGTTTAGTTTCTATTTTTTTTGTCGTATAATTATCTATATTTTATTGCATGCGGATAAGACGATCCGTTTATATGATTCACATGGAAGTACTTTAGGTGCATTGATATAAATTTTCTAAATTGCAAAGGAAAAACGGTGTATTACGACTATTAAAAACAATTAATGTTGCTCAACAATAATCAATTACTACGCGAGTATCAATGTTTTTATAGTCCTAATTTGCTACGAACAACCAGCAAAAAAAGTCACAAGAAATTATCTTTACACTGATGATAATGATGTATGATAGAAAAAGTTTATAAAACATTGGTACCCTTACAAAACTCGAAAGTTGTGGTAAAGATACACCCGAAATTTTAATTAGCTTAGGCCTAGACGTCACACTCCACAATTTTATCAGTATTTAATAAATTGAATCACCTCCTTCATAAAAAGTATTCGTAACATTTTAGTATAAAAAAGATATTTTTCACGGAAACTTTATTTAATATTTAGACCACATTAAAAATATATTAAAAATATTTAAACTTGTTATGATTAGATGTTGATTATTTTCTCGTTTATCATTAAACTCTTAGAATAATATCGTTATCAAATGTACTTAAAATACAATTATGTTATTTCAACCTGTTACAAATAATTTTATGGATAATACAAATATTAATTTATGTCTAAACGATCGCTAAGCTAAAGCAATGAATGAATCAATTCTAATTGGGGATTGTTTTAAACAAGACGATGCGATTAGGTTTAAGCGTTTATATATCTCTCATATAAATCGATAATTTTAGTAAGTTGAGATGTGAAAATGAGGAAAAAATTCTATTACTTCCACGGTAATGAAATAAAAGAATATTTATTTTAAATTAATAAACAACCTTAATAACCACGTAATTAGGTTTCGTTTTCAATAAGCCTAAGTTCTTGACCCCGTACTCAAAAATTATTATTAGCTCCATTAGCAAATTTATGTTTTAATGATAACATAATATGATTCATTAACAATAAATAGAAAAGTTATTTGATTAGTTGTGAACAAACCTGTTTTTATAATATTCTTAAATATATAAGATATTAGAAATATTTAATAAAACTATTATTAAATCAAGATAACAAACACCAGTCATATACATATTTAGAAGTAAAAGTGGTTAGGTAATATGAGGTAATATTTATTGTTCGAATTGTCAGAAATATAAGAATTATGAGAATTAATATTAACTAATAAAAATATATTTATTGCTATAAAAGGTAAAGGCATGTCGGTTTTGAATAATATTACCATTTTTATTAATGGGTAACGCTATGGTAGAGCTATTAATCTAACCTCAGTGAGATCTACTGAACCACACTGGTAAATATCGAATTATACTTAATAAAGATTTAAAAAAAATTATAACATATTTAAGCATCTTTTGGTAGTTTTGCCTCATTTAACACTAAAAATCCACTGCTACTACCGATTCTCCTCAATGAGGTTACAAATTTATTGAGGTAAAACTTTGGTCCTTCTATCTCAAGAAGCAAATAGAATTTCAACTCGGCACGAAAGACTTCTCTTTTACCGAATGTGATCATCCAAATTTATATGCTGCTTTTGTGTTTGTTGCTGTGATTTCAATAATAAGATCCGCGTAGTTTGCTTTTTTACTTTGGAAGTATACAAATTGTTTTTCTACAAGCACTGTTTACCACCTGCTAGAACAAATAGAATTTTTTCGCAGTTTTTACTTTTTTAAGATTATTCCTAATTTCATAATTTATAATCTCTAAAATTCGCAAACGCTAAGTAATCAGTTTAGAAAAATCGACAATGATGTTTTCGATTGAAGTAATTTAGAAACTGTCGTATAAGAACGCAAGAGTTGTTAGTTAATTTTACAAAATAATAAATTTTAATATCCTCATAATAAAATATAGACCCATTCGACGGACATAAAAAATATAACAAATTAACTTAAAATTAATTAAATTTGCTTCATAATATTCAAATTATTTTCTCTGTACATCAATGGTCGAATTCTATTGAGGGAAAAGCAAACTTGAATTAATAAATAAATTATGGAAATATCTCGTTAAAAACCTTCGGTGGACTTGTTTCTTTTAAAATTAAGTTATATGTATATAGTTGTCAATCGCCATTTATATGTAGTTCAAACGCTAAAGGAATGTGACACTCTCATCTTTATAACTTTTTCGTGTACAGTGATATATTTAAGATGTATATTATTTTATTTGTTACTTTTATGTATATTATATACTAATAAATATTTGTATTTTTTTTTTGTTTTTTGTTTTTTTTTTTTTTTTTTTATATATACGAAATTGTGCAATTGCTTCAGCTAATATAATACGTAAGTTATTCTGCGAATTTTCTTTTGCTGTGCTTATTTATTTGGAACAAAAATTTATTTAATAGTAAAAGCGTATTGTATTAGGTGCAAATGATAGTATATTTGTATTCAATAGGAGTTTATACGTGACAAACATTATCAGGGTGTTCCCACGATCCATGCCATCCTACTTTATGTAAATAATAATAATGCCCTTTAGATAAAAGGAACATTTGAAAATATTTATTTATAGCCTAATATTAAAATTCAATTTAATGATATAAAGCTACTCTGTCCTGACTTATAATACTTGCGAATAGTTTGTATAATTTTTTAAAATTAACCATGTCGTGTGTTATTATTTACGATAAAATTTTGTTAATTATTTTAAAATAATAAGTATTAATTTTCAATATAATGTACATCATCGTAGAATTAAAAATATAATTCTGTTTGTTAACAATAAACTTACTTTTAAAATAAACGTTTAATAAATCCAATATCACAAAACAAATGTACACTCGCACCGCACTGCATTAGTGGAATAAAAGTAAAAAATCGCCGATGGATCGCAGGACCTGGCGGCTCCTTACTGCGGATAAACTCTTGACGGACCATGTTATATTGTAAAGGAGATACGACCTCTCGTTGATGACGTCGCACCATGGATTGCTTGCGCGGAAAATGTCTCACTAAATCATGTAATTGTTTTGTCGTTCTGTTTTTGCTTCGGATTTTTAAACCTTTAATATATTATATTTATAAAACAATTTCAAGAACTTTCTATGTTCAAAAATGTGTTCATTAAATATTTTAGTTTTGTGCAGGTTTGAATATTTTAGAGAAGACAAAAATGTTATAAATGTATGATTTTGACAGTTAAAATTCGTCTTCAATTTAAATCTTAAATTTTCCACGGAAAATTTTTAACTTTTATCTATAGGTATATTTTTTAGGGTCCAAACAACATGAGGTATTGATAATTTGTTTTATGATTATTGCGACTGTAGGTTGTAAGATGATCTCTGTAGAGACGATTATTGTCGATAGTTTGTAATAAGACCAATCAGATTATAATTGAAGAAAAACATGTCGTCTTGCACAGGATTTATTTTTTTATATAAATCAACCTATTAGCTCAGTAAGATTAACTATGATGCCTTCCATTCTGCCACTATCGTTGCTCGGATAGATAAATAATAACTGAGTATATAAATTAGATATTGTTAAGAAATTTTTGAGTAAAAATCTTTGGGATTATGATTTTCTGTTTATATAAATTTATGAGTTTTATTATTTATATTTTGGTAAATCTCTTTATTTCAAAAGTAAATTGTCGAACTTTCTTCGATAAAATATTTTTATTTAAAATCAGTTGAACTAAAAAAATAAAAATTATAGAATATTGCTTTAAATTTCAATTCTTAAATCTTTTTGACTCTCTATATTGCTTAATAATAATATTAATTTATATAAATAAGCCTTTATAAAATTTTAAAGTATCATTACATAATAATATTTCTATTTGCCATACGTTTTTTATACTTATCAAAGAACTATTATTATAACATTATTATTTAAGGCTCATGTATATAAAATATTTTTTTCTGTTTAGAGGCTTTTGGATTCAAAAAAATACATTAAAATATGTTTGATTAAGATAGAAATTTTTGAGCCGGTTTAATGAAATTTAATACATATATTTTTATATTATATATCGATGGGGATTATATATAATAATAGTAAAAGACAAGAAAATGCAAAACATAAAAAGCAATCTTTATATAACAGTAACTATAAAAATACTTTTGCATATTATTAAAGGAGCATGTTTTAATTTTAACACAAAGGTATAAAATTGTTAGTTGTTAAAAGCGATACGTATTCGGGAAATTTGTATGCATGTTAAATATATGAAATAAAAGATATCTTATATAAATAACATTTAATCAGGAAGAAATAGGTAAAAAGTTGTATAGAAGTGGGTCACCTTGAAAACTATATAAAAAGAACTTTTATTAGTGTTTTAACAAACCTGAATATCATATGTCTAAAACTGCCTTTGTGAATCTAGTTAAATTTTAATATATCCAATTTAAGAATAATATAGTAATTATATAAAACATGCGTCAACAAATCCTAGTATTTGATCAGTTTGATATTAGTATGGGTATACCCCAGTCTTCTTTTATCATGTCGGCGGCTTTTTCAGCGATCATCATTGTGGGTGCATTTGTATGTGCCGCAGGAATATTTGGCATTATACTAGCATCCACAACCCTTAGACCTTTTATACCGTGGACTTTCAAACGTGAATCGACAACTGCCTCAGGGTCACTACTTGGTCCCATTTTTGCTGTGCAGCAGGGATGGTATATAGTATTCGTTAGTGCCCTCATAGCACATAACCAATAACTATCTGAATCGAATTTGTGTTGTGCGCAGTGAGGAATAGGAATATCGTGAAGTTTACTCCCATATTTTTGAAAAGCTTTTGTCTGTGATAACTGCAACACTTTCCTAATACCATATAATATAACATGCTCGTCGTGACCGCCGTCAGTAAAATAATTTGGATTGATAATTGGTTTATCGTGCGGTTTATTACTTCTTAGTTTTATGTAGCCTCTTGATTTAGGGAGTAACAGCATCGGAAATACCATCCAGGTATCACTATTGGCAATTGGTTTATAAACTGTGTCATACAAAATATCATCGATGTCAAATGCATACCTGTAAGCATTTTGAGAAACAATTGAACCGCCCACGAATAATAGTTCTAAATCAGGATAGCTATTTTTATTATTTGGATTTTTTGTATCAATGAAAGCAAGTGCTTCCGCACCGGTTGGAACTGTTAGAGGGCCGGTGTGATGACAGAAATATTCAATGATATTATTCAAAGTTGCAATTCTTTCAAATCTAAGAGAGTCTGTTGTATTGATTATGAAAGTTAGACCACCTAAAGCATAGTGATCTTGCAAGTTATATCCTACCGGCAAATCTGAGACTGTTGTAATATTTATTTTCGTGAGATCGTCCCTTGGTCCTATTCCGCTCAGCATCAATAATTGTGGAGAGTTCACAGATCCGGCGGATAAAATCACTTCTCGTTTTGCTCTTACTACAACTTGCTTACCATCCTTTTCAAATTTTACGCCATAAGCGCGTCTTTTTTTTGGATTTATGAGAACTTTGGTCACTAAAGCATTCTTAATTATATGAAAATTAGGTCGTTTTTTTATAGGATGTAAGAAAGCTCGACTGACACTCATTCTAGTTCCATTCTTCATAGTAAATTGAATAATGGAATACCCAATCTGTGTTTCACCATTATAATCATTGACATTTCCACCGATTTCGACTCCGGCATCAAGGAAGGCGTCTGATAGTGGGGTTCGCCATCTTGGCTCTTGTATTGTCATCGGCCCCTCAGTTGAATGATATTTTTTGTCATTTACCAAACGTGGAATTTCAATATTTTCTGATTTTTTAAAATATTTCAATACGCTTTCGTAATCCCAACCTAGATATTAATTAAATTATGTTAGAAAAAAAGTTTTACTTTTTATAACAAAATATATTATTATTTCATTCAGATATTTAAAACTGTATTCTTTTGTTACTCTTATTGAAATTTATACCTGGATTTCCACTAGCTGCCCACGTATCATAATCTCGTTTATTTCCCCTCGTGTGCATCATTGAATGGAGCACGGAAGACCCTCCTACAACTTTTCCTCTTGGCCATGCACACCGTTTATCACGCATACCCATACATCCGGCCTTCTGAAAACGGTAAGGTCAATATTAGATTCATCGCCTTGATGTAATTATTGTGCAACTGAGTTACGACTTATTAGGACTAGACATGATTGAAGTTCACCGCCTTTAATTCAAACCGTCATTTAATGTAGAATGTATCACGTTGACATTGATATTGCAGGACATCTGACTTTCGCCTCTTACTTCCCTTATGCATAGCCCCTTAATAAATAAATATATTTTTACAAATTTCCGCCCCGCACGTCCACTCGAGGACGGAGAATGTTTTGTTTAAAATTTGTATAAGCTGCAAGCCTATCGCGTAGTTGCTTATACATATGTATATTGACAATAAAGGCTATATTTATTTACTAATTAAAAATGTATTTGTTTTACTTTTTTATAAAATTTTGGTATATAATTAATTTATGTTTGTTTTAGCAAGGAGTTTAGCAGATGTCTCAAAATATATATTACTAGTGTATAGGCGGTTTTTACCATTATTTATTAAATATCAGCCAGTGACCTTAGTAAAGCCATTACTCAAACCCGACATGGCAGTTAGCAGTTGGCTGGTATGACGACGTTCAACATAATACATATATTTGGGATTTGATCTATACTGAGAAACTAAAAGCTATTTTTAATGCCTCATTTCCGCGTCGATTCTATATAAAGAATATATGATGTCTGATAAAAAAAAGAAAAAATACACAAGAGCAAGTGAGCGAATTGGTAGTTAATGTAATCGAAGTAACTTGAACTTCCTATTTTTGTTTTACTGTTTATTTTTTTTAAGACCATAACTGGTATGAATAAATTAAATAATATAAATAAACATTCCATAAAAATATTTATTTTCTGACAGGTTGTATAAAAAATGTGATTTGAGAATTAAATATTGTACAAGATTTTCTTAAGGAATAGGAAGCGGAGGAAATATCGATCCACTTTATTTACAAAAAATAGTAAATTAATAATAATCTCTTTTTTAAGTTTACATTGAGATAAAGATATTTAGTATATGGAAAGGTATTTCTGCAAAAAGGTTTCTTTATTTTATTTTATATATAAAATGAGTTAAGGAGCTTCTTTCTAGGGTTCGCTATTTTTTATATTGTTTGTGTTTATGCTCAGGTCAGCACAATTAATGAGAAAAATTATATACATTTATCTACACCGAGTGTCATGTATTTGTGATCTTTATTTAAGTGGAATTAAGGAGAACTCTAATAAAGGACTGAATTCATTAACGAAGTGTACATTTTCGTCTGGAGGTAGAATTAAATTCAACCTTACGAATTGTGATTAAAATTCATAGATCACATTATTTCATTGCCATTTAATTAATTAGAATGTATCCAGCATTTATCCTCACAGATCAGAAGCTACTAATGCTTACGTCAATTTTCATGTTTAAAGATTTTTTTTCGTATAAAAAGTAACACATTTGTTCACTGAACATTATATGGTAATTTGCTTTCCATTTCAATTACTGGACGTCTTTTGTTATTTACACACAATTTAGGACACCACTATACATAACAGTTTAATTATAAATATTGTTATTAGTACAATATTATTTAATAACAAAATTATTACATACAGACCGGGATATATTTATAAAAGAATCACAACAATTATATCATCTTAATAATGTATATGTATTTTCCTTACTACTTTTGTGATGTTCGTTTGTGGAATTTTAAATAGTCGAGTGAGCTTGCTGACCCTTGCATAGCCTTGGCTGATACATTATTTGAATTATAATAATGGAAGGGGGGATCTATTTCTTAAACAAATGTTATTATCAAGTAATATACGTCGCATTTAAAACTATAAGACATAATTTTTCGCACATTAACGTTTTATGCGTTGAGTGTGTGTTTTAAAATAAAAATTAAACGATGAAACTAATTTAGAACATGTCATTGTGTCTGAATTCTAAAGAAGACTTAAGACTGTAACCTATAGTTTTGTATTTTTACTTTAGTGAAAATTTGAAATCATCGTAAATTTTGAATATGTAGTCTGATTTAAATATTTGTAACTCATCAAAATACATAAATCATTATCAATTCCCAGTTTACTATAAAGAATATAAATAATTGGATAATATTTTTTTCATTTAATAAAAAAAAGTGATGAAGTTTTTCATATAAATAATATTGAAGTTGAATATAATTAACTTTTTTTGTTTTTTTTTGAAGGGGTTAAAATAATAAAATAATCAATCTTTCAAGTAAAAAAAGTATCGCTTTTTTGAAACAGAATGTAGAAAAAAAGTTTAGCAATAAACATTAATTTTAACAACGGTCTACAATTAATTAATATTATATTATTTTTTTTTTACTTTCCAAACATTTGGAACCTCTTGGTTTTTCTTTAATAAGTCTTATATATATCTCCCATTATTTTTATTTTTATTAATAATGTTTTCCATTAAACCAAATATTATTTATTTATAATTATTAAATTATTGCAGTTTATAAATGAAACAAAAAACTATGGTGAACAGTCTATTCGTACGAGATATATTATGTTACTATAATTTCAATTGTTAACTATGATTTTTCTAAGTCTTTTACATATGTGCAAGTAAAGTTTTCTGTGGAGGTTGGGAATTATTTTTGTTTTTTTTTTTTTTAGAATATTTTTGGCACCTTTACAGGTTTTTCCAAATTTTGACCGCTATTATACTTACTTATCTTCCATATCATGTAACTTACAGTTCTTTTAAACGTTCGCAGTACCAAAAACCTAATAAAAATATATAGCCGCATAATAAACTAAAAATATTATAAAGCAAATAATTATTTAGAATAAATATTATTTATCCACATCTATCTATATGTATAACAATGGATTGCTGTTCCTTAGTCTCGCTAAAACTCGAGAACAACTAAACGGATTTATCTTATCTTAGTCTTGAAATGTTCGTGGAGGTTCAGGGAAGGTATAAAAGCTGAAAAAAATTGATTCATTACTGGGAAAACCAAAAAAACAGCTTTTTTCTATTTCCCATACAAACGTTTTATGGACATTAGATTTGACAACTAACTAATATGTCAATCATTTTGTCGCACTTCAAAACACGGAGATTTATGGCTTACAGGTAAACTCCAAAAATATAAATAAAAAAACGTAATAGATATTTCTTGATTATAGGGAGATACGAAGTTCGCCAGGTCTTCTAGTATTATATACATATGATGACAATATTATGTAATCAATTGTAAGTATAAGAAACGACGCAAAACAATAAAGTCTCCTTAATGTAAACAAATTACTGTTATTTATTGAATTGTTTTTCAAATAAATATAACATAACTTTGACGAAAACAAAATCACGTAGGCATAAACGTTTGTTTAACAAAAATATTTAAATAATTTATTTAGAATGAAATATTCATAAACATTGATTCGTGGGTGTTTTGGAATACACGGTGTTCAATTTTTTATTTAATTAAAAACTTATTTGATAAATAATCACTGTCAAATCGTGTAATTTGCAAATTATATTTTAAAGAACATCCTGAGATTTTATATTCGAATTCAAGGAATATTTATTGATTTTAAAACAAACCTGTGAAGATTTTACGGATTTCGACTTATTTTAAAAGTTTATTTTGACAAAATAGGTTCAGTACAACCTACTTAAACAATATGTATTTTACTATTTAATAAAATATATATATAATATATAATTTAATTTGTTCTAATGTCTTTTGATTTTATAGTTTCTTTATGATGATGCAAACTAAGAAAAACCTTTTAATAAAAAATGTTGTCTTGAGTAAAAATAGAAATACGTATTAAAGTTTTTGTGACGCATTTGGCTAAATTATCTATCTGATATGGTTATTTTTGTATTTATTTTGTTATTTATACATAAGGCTTTGTGTAATGTTGTATAATATAATACCTCGATAATGTGTAACATTTATCACGTAGTACTAAGGCAATCCCTCCTACTACGATGCGAGCACGTACTGGTTTTGTAATATTTCACTTTATGATAATTAAAACGGAAATAACATTTTTTTTAAACTAAATTTAGAATCGCCGACATTAAGAAGTATTGATAATTTAATAGACTCGTAAGGAAGGGAATATGTTGTTGGTGGATTTGCCGGCGTGGGAGCTTGTTTCATTTGAAAATCCCGTTCTTGGTTTAACTTTTAACAATTTAGAACGGTAATGAAGAAAGTATAAGCTTTTTCAACATTATGTTCCGTCAAACAAATTTATTTTTTAATATTAGTCTCAAAATGTACAAAAAAGTTTAAAGCCTATTTGAAGTTAGGAACTTTAAACGTGAAGTAATAAAAGGAACGTAAAATTAAAAAAAAACTAAAATTCAATTTGTATACAATAGTTTATACTTGTTTGATTTATTTGGTCAAAGTAAGTTTTATAAACACTGTATATATTTTTTAAGTACCTAAGTATGATCGAAGCTTAAATAAGTTTCAATAGTTTGTTTATTTTTTTTTAATCAATATGACATATTATTTAAATCCATAATTATTTAATCTGTGACGTCACCTGATCTGTTCATTCATCGGGAAATTAACGAACCCATTAAAGAAAGAATATAATTTTGGAACCGGTCCATAATCGCAATATTTATTCAAAGGATTATATATGCATGTCTAGTATTTATAATTTCAATAATGCAAATGTCTTCCGCATGTATTCCGCATAGTGAAATATGTATATTTAAAAAAAAAAATAATTCCTTTTTTTTAATATATTATAAAGTTCTGTTTGTGAATCAGCATTAAGTATAGCGTTGAAAGAAGCAGGTTTTATACAATGTCTCTTTGTGGATGAAATGCTATTGAGATAATTTATTTTTTGTTTGTTTGCCTTGCATGATTTTTTGTATCTCATAAATGACACTACTAACGTATCTTGTATAGTTTTTATATTGTTATCAAACAATGTTCTAATATGGTTGCATCATACAATGTGATTTCAAAACAATATACTTTTGTCCTCTGTAACAGGCAGTGACGTAAAATAATTAAAGATTACAATTGTTTTCCTCTTGAAGGTTAATATTACAAAAAGACAGTTGGATCAATTACATAAGAATAACGTTACGTCCTATAATAATATCTGTTTAAGACTTTACAACTGAGAATTTAAAATATAACATATATTTATAATCAATGTTTGCCCGGGATGAAATATTGCCTAGAACATTTACTGGGTGCGAATTACAAATAATATCTACTGATATAATAAATCCTATAGTATCTTCATTATTTTTTTGTATTTTCTGAACTAATTGTATTTGGTCCGTGTATGTAGATGAAAAATTTTCCTTAAAGACATTTGAATCCTACGATTTTATAATGGGGTATAATAGAGATTTCATACATATTAGACAGAGTATTATGTACACAGCTCTTTATATATATGAAAATATAGCAACCATAGAAGAACACAAAAATATTATAGTTCACTACACTAGAAACGATTACCAAATAGGATTTGGAATGACATCACTGAGATAACCGAACGTTTCTTAAAAACTAAACATGTGCACAAAAAAATCTCAATAAGTTCAAATCATTCTGATAACACATGTTAGCGTTCGCCGTGATATATTAACGTAAAATTATTAATTTTATTATTAATTCTGACAAAAAAAAATATTTCCCACTTCCCCACTAACTGGTTATAGATTTATTGATATTCATCATCCGGCAAACTTCATTAATTACTTGCATAAATGCCGCATTTATGAAAGAATTTGTATAAAAATCAAATTGCAAATATAATAAATGCAAAGTATTTCCTATACTTTTTGTATTGACATGACACGTTGTAATACTTAATACCTTTCAATGTATACATATATTAAACGATATAATTTGCCGTGTCGGCATAAACAATAGCTATAAAAAGTAGTAACTCCAGAAAATAGCATTATATGAAGTTTGACGTGCTTACTGTTTTTTTTAACTTGTCCTTTGTCATTTTCGTGGTATTGTTGGATAAACCGAATGTGATTTTTTTTGTAGGATTTACGTCAATATTGTTTTGGTGCTGCTGTAAACGTTTTTTGTTTTGTTTTTGTCTTTAATAACTTACGTCTTTAAATAAACCGCATGCAAAAAAATAATTACTTGGAGTGAGATGAAACAGATGAAGCATTAATTTAATATATTAAATTGTTAATATGAGTAGAGAAACATGAGGCGGAACCATACAAAAGTGGAAGTCGAAAACTAAATTAAAATGAAACGGAGATGCAGGTCTCCTGTAATATGATGGATTTAGTCAAATGTAGAAAATACATTAAAAACGAATATTTTTAATTGATTCAAATTATCGAACATCAGATGTGCTTTACATAAAATCTTTTTTCTATTTGTTCCAAAAACATATCAATAATAAGATATTAAGAGATCAATAATGTGAAATACAGTCACCAGTTAATTATCTGTACTAGTATTAAATATAAATCGTGATATATTTACTTGAGGTTCTGTGCGATACTTCCAATTTGCGTCAGTGAATTGCAGCATTGTAGCCAAAACGGGGATATCCATAAATACTTGCTCTGCTCCACCTGCCTCTATTAAAAGGACCTGTAATGTATTGAAATTTATTGATTCCTTAACTTTGAAAACCAAAACAAAATAAAAATATTTTCCTTATGACAAACATTGTATGTTTTTAATTGAGGTGAAATGTTTTATTTTTAATTGTATAGTCGTTTATTGTAATTTTTGACAAAGCCACTGAGAGTTGAAGTCAAAAGACTTTTGTGAAATTATTTGCTAATAAAAATATGTTTTATTTTTTATTACATTTCCATCAATTATAGAATCGTTGATATGATCAATTAATATTACTGTTATTCATAATTTTATAGACAAATTAGTGCTCGAGTTAATTGTAATTTGACTTTCAGTTGGCAACGAACCACAACTATAATAGATCAACATAATTTATTTGTTTATTTGGGAATCCCTATAATGTGCCATCATTTCGCCATTATTACTTAGCTAGCTTGACCAGTTTAATTTTATATTATAAAGCCACTTGTTCACTTCTTGCCTGTTTATATTTAACTATCCTGACATTTCATCGATATCCCGGAATTGGATTGTATGTGAGAGGTATCATGACGCGTTGCATTTATTGCTTTTTATAAGATGCATTTATAGATATTTTTTTTTTAAGTTTTTGTTTTATATAAGTAATATGCCTCAGTCCTATATAATTGTTGTTTTTTTAACTAGGTAATAAAATAAATCAATAAATAAAAAAAAAACACGTGCAATCCATTAAATCCGGTCATCGACCTTTGCTACTTTGAATATTATAATCAACAATGAAGGATAGCTTATTTCGTCGAGTAGAATGGTTTCAAAAATAAATATATTGAATTGAGTGTGGTACGCCTAAAATTTGAGGTAAGAAATATCGGAAAAAACCTACATCCTTATCAACAACTAACCCCAAATATTGAAAAGAGCACGTCCTTTATCTATTAAAAATATGTTGAATACAATATACTGCTGATACTTGTTATTAAAATGATCGCAATCCCGGTAACATTAAATTGCTACATCACGTAATGCTATAACTCGAACAAAGCAATGTGACAATACTGACTGTAATATAATATGAGGTCGCGCCTACCTTAATTAATACTTAATTCAAGGTAAACCGTAATTGACCCACGCCCAAGCAAATTAGTGGCTCGTCGTTAAATTCATCTGCGTTTTATTTGTCGCCTAGGAATTAAAAAAATACTAATAACAAAAACTTTTCTATTTAACTTTCGATCGATTATTTATTTACAAGAATGTAGACTGTTCATTATTTGAGGAATTGGTTTTTTAGTTTTGTGGGTTTAGGTTTCAAGTGAACATTAAGCAAAAATTTATTTTTCCATACACTAACAGATCAGATGTATCGGACAGTATTTAAATCCATTTTTATAGAGATGTACCTTAGTAAAGCCCTGTCAAATCAAATCAAGCACTCACTTCAACCTTGGTAAAAATAAGTATTGAAATGCAAATTAGGCTGACCATTTTATATATAAAGACAAATTCTGTGAAATCATAGACTGGGAAAACCGACTCGAAATAGCGTTCTGTCGTTAATGAAGCTATTTCGTTGTCACCGAGGGACGTAGGTCGTAAATATTGGTAATCAAATTTGTTTAACCTTAAACTTGTCGACTTCGGTCAATCTGTTGCTAAGTATACAACCGGCTGTGCCAGCACCGACGATGATGAAGTCGTACTTGGGTAAGATGGAGCTAGTTTCGGCTGGCTCGCCGTTGTGTATCTCGGCTGCATCACGGAGGAAGCCGGCTATCCCATCGAAGATAGTATCCCTTCCAAAAGTTGCGAGAGGGAAGTTGCAGAGGCTGGAGAAAAGTTGACAAAAATAAATCAATGTAAACTATGACATAGTTTAAGTATATTTTTTTTAGGTACTTAGATAAATATATTCATAATATATTGTTTATATTTCTTTAAACACAGATTTTATAATTAGTAAGCTTTGGTTTTATTTTGATGTTTTCAGTGGAAATGAAATGAGATCCGAAATTCAGTTGAATATAGAGTTTTATTGAGAATATTTGGTGATGTTTTATAATTTTAATTTTGCTAAAATAGTGATATTTTTTTTTGGATATAGAGTACAAAAACGAGCAACAATATGCACGTTAAAGTATCATTTAAAAGATATTCTCAGTTATTCGTTAATGACCTTTTAAAACAAAAGCGTCTCCTTACAAATAAACTTATTACTAGAACATGTTTTTATTTTTTCTTACATCAGAATATATTTTCATAACGTTCCACGGAATTTTAGTTTTGTTAGTTAAGGATGTATTTTTGAGTTTATTTTTTGAATACAAATTTGTGGTTTTATACGTCAATAGTAAAAATTTGGAAGGCGCGCCCAAGGTTGAAACTAACTTTTGTATATAAGCATATTGTCTTCCACAATACAAATTTGTCATGACATAAATAAAAAATTGTATAGATTAAGAAGTGGCTAAAAGCACTTTCTACCATTTTCCACACTAAATGTCATTAAAATCAGGAATCATGTGGTCAAGTAAAATAAGAAACGTCAGATACACAGATATTTTAGATATCTGTATAAATTTTATAGATATTGAAAATTGTTGTTTACAAATATTATTATCTAGGAACAACGCTTTATTTAGTAAGTACATAATTTTTTTCATTTTATTTTTTTGCTATAAGCTCTACTGATTTTTTAAGGCACCTAATTTAAATTAACAAAATAAAACGTAAGAATGTTATTTTCAGTACCTTTCAGCTATTACAATTTTTGTGTTTCATGTAACCTACCCGATAAGGTATCACAATCTTATAGATGGCCTTTGTATGCAATAAGATTTGAAAAACATTTAACATGCATAAACACTTATTACAAGTATATCTACTGAGAAAATACATTGTTTTCAGTCAATAAGAGTTACTGTTAACAAGGACTTGTTTACAATTATCATTTTAAGGATTGCTTAAGAAATAGCAAATACACACAAATTGGAGTTAGTTTCGAAAACTGAATATGCTTCCAACAAACTTTATAATAAGCATAAAAAAGTACCTGATTAACACAAATAAATAACAACACTTCCACCTCATCATTCACGACACGACACTCGTTGTTTTGGAAAATCGAACATAAATAATGGCTCTACCAAAGTTATTTAAATTTATAAAATTAAATATCTGCATTACGCACATGAAATGATTTATTGGTCGCTAACTTAGGAGTTACATTGTGGTCATAGTACTTAGAATGTTATAAATATGTAGACATTATTACGCAAAAATATTCATCATAAGTTAATGACTGTCATTTAGTAACGGGATTTTAATTAGCGTTTTTTTTTACTAAAATATATGCATTTCGTTATTTTGTTTCATTGGAAGATATTCTGATAGCAGTGAAAAGTTTTGAGAGCGGAATATGTAAAAAATTATTGTAAATAAACAACAATAAATGGCTATATTTTTCTTAACTCGATATGTATATGATTCAATCCCCGGATGGTACCTAATATTTTTTAACTTAAGCGAAGAGTTACATCACCTTATTCTTTATAAACTAGTATTAGGTTTCTTTTTCGGTGAGCTATAGTGTTCATTTTTGAGCATTGCTACAAACCTAGAGGCCTTTAGTCTTTACTCTTAGTGTTCATGGTTATTCACGTTGTGAACATATAAATTATATCACTTAATTTTTATGCATATTTGATTCACGGGATTATATTACGAGTTTTTGAATGGAAGACCAAATTATAAAGTTAGTTCATCGGTTAGAGGAATTAACTAAGAAATATATTAAAAGACAGTAATGAAATGTAAATAATATTTTTTGCACTATTATAGAAATATATATTCGAATTCAATTTTATTTTATTAAGATTATTTTTGCATTAAGCGGGGTAGGATCAAAAAGATTTGTTTTTTATGTTATTGACGAAATCGAACCACACATCTGCTTCTTCAGAAATAAGTTTGGTAATTAAAATACTAACCACTACTCGCGTCAACCTTTATTAAAAAATACCTATACCTGTTTGTATAACATATATAGAGTCTTGAGAAGTTAGATAGGTATTTAAAAACGATAAAAAATACCGAAAAAAGTAAAAACAATAATCTCATAGTACTTACTTTGTTCATAATTCCTATATGTAGTTTGGTTCAATAAGTACTTTTTCCGTCAATACTAATACAATTAATCTGTCATATATAAATTATATAAAACATGATAAGGGAAAATCCCTTTTACAATTATATCGACAACAACGCTATAAAGTCATACTTGTTTATATTTCCTTTAATCACAACTATTTTATCTTATTACATATTTTCGCATTTAAATAGAATTCGGTATGTCTTGAATATTGAACATGGAATAACCACTTTTGTCGTAGCATTTAACATTATAATTTTATCGATCGTTTTATAAATTCACTTGTTTATTTTAATATATAGAATTATATACATTCCGCACATAAATTTTATACAACATAGAAAACCGGATGAATATCAAAATTTTTGTTTTAAAATATAAAACAGGTTTTTTAGAACAGCGTTTAAACTACAGTTAACTCAAATATTCCAATTCTATTGACGGACAAGAAAAAACTATCACGTAAGTAAAGTATAATAATAAGTAGTAGATTATAGAAATATTTATTAAGTAATCCATTGAGAGAACTTTAAAAAATCATCAATGTAAAATATACTTATATCAAAATTGAATTTAAAAAATGATACATTTTATTTTTATAAATAAATAGATTTATCATGGTAAGGAAATAAAAGGAATGTATTTTTAAATAAATTACCAGGAAAAGGTTAATGGGAGAAGAAGCATATAAATGTATTTAGAAAAATGAAATTGATTATCTGAAACTTATGAATCTGTATTTGCTTACTTGGATAATTTTAAATTCCTTACAATTAACTCCAGAACTCCAGTTTTTCATGAACAAATGTCATCAAATCGTTTTTCAATACGTTATGATTTAATAGAAATAATTACGGAAGCGTAAGAACAATTAAACTATGAAGTCAGAATATCAGAATGATGACTTGTCACATAAATACAGTTGGTAAATAATGTTATTAACACGGGAGCAGGTAAACAATTTGTAAGGAATCTTCGCAAAAGAAGCTACGATATAAAAAAGACGGGCACTTAAAATAAAAAAGCAACATATAAATTTTTAGTGCCTTACTTAATTTATTAGCAATTACCTTGATTCAGAACAGAATATGAATGACATAATAATTATAAATTGGCTAGTACGTACTAAATTCATTCAAAAAATAAACATGCACTTCCTGTTTTATATTTTCATTCATTAATTTATTTTCATTTGATTTATTGATGACGTATAAACAAAAAGAAAACAACGATGGAACTAATTAATAAAGTTTTATAATAAACAACAAACATTATTTATTACATGATTTGGTTATAAATGGTAACTGAAATAATTATTCGAATCGTAATCAACTAAACTTAATACTTGTTCAAATGTTACAGTCAAGTTCAGTTAACAAAAATCTTTTAATTTATCTTCAATGCCTGTGACCCCTGGGCTTGTGCAGTGCAACTACAAATGTAAAATTTATTGTTATTGTAGACTGAATATTTTGAATTCATTGTCTTTATTTTGGATGGATCATGCTAATTTCCCTAGTACCTCTCATATATTCAGGTAAATTAGCAACTGGGTAGTACAAAACAATGTCCACTGTCTAAAAATGTTGATTTCATGAATCTTATTACTATTAAGTTCATAACATTTAATGAAATATTATTTAATAAAGAACCATGAATATTTTTAATAATTGTCATAACACTATTTTCATGGGTCATTGAAGGTTTTAAAGCTTTAATTCATACCCGCTGGTGTAAAGGTACAAAAAGTATGGCACCTATCAACAAAAATATAACAAATAGTCTTACTCATGTATAACGTATAAATACATTTATAAATATTCTATTTACAGTACATACATATATTCTATTTAAACTATGTACATTCAAAGTAAGGGCAAAAAATTTAGTGAAATATTATTCTAAGGATATATTCCAGTGTATATACACGGATTCGCTTCCGATGTCGTCGTTAATTTATTTTTACCCCACTTCTCACACATAATAAATTAATCCAAATTTTGGTTATTATTTTTCACTTCTACCTATTCAACCAATCTTCTTTTATCATGTCAGAACCTTTTTCTGCTATCATGATTACTGGTGCATTTGTGTTTCCACTAACGATAGTTGGCATTATGCTAGCGTCTATAACTCTTAATCCTTCAATACCAAACACCCTCAATCTGGGGTCAACAACAGCATCCTTATCCCAGGATGGTCCCATTTTGGCTGTCCCAGATTGGTGATATATTGTCATACTTATTGATCTAACTTGACATTCAATATATTGATCGGACATATATACGTGTTGTTTACAATTTGGTAAGGGTTTCATATATAATCTTGATCCAAATTGCTTAAATGGGGAAGCGTTCGCAACTTTTAAGGCAATTTTTATTCCTTCAACAAGGCGACTTACATCTAAAGGATCTTCATGATAACGTGGATTCATTATGGGATAATCAAAAGGATTAGAACTCTTTAATCGAACGTAACCTCTAGTATTAGGCCGTAACAACAGTGGCATAATGGTCCACCCATCTTTATTTGCTATAGGTTTAAAGACAGTGTCATATATTTCGTCTTTCAGACCTAACACTTTTTTCACAGTTTGTCCGTTATCTGAAGAAAATGTTGCAGGAGCCATATGGAATTGAATATCAGGCCATAATCCGGAGCTATTGGCATATTTTGTATTTACAAAAGCAATACCTTCAAGTCCTCCTAACGTAGTCATAGGTCCTCTTTCATTTAACACATAATTCATTGTAACAGGAAATGCCTGAAATCTATTTTGGACAATACTAACTGGTTTATCGACTAGAAATGTCAGTCCTCCTACTCCTACATGATCTTGTAAATTTTCTCCTACTGGTAAATCTTTTAGTACTTTTATGCCAACGCTTTCTAAGTGATCTTTTGGTCCAATACCAGAAAGCATTAATAGCTGTGGACTGTTAATAGCTCCTGCCGATAATATAACTTCTTTTCTAGCATAAACAACTTTTTTAATACCATGTTTTACATATTCCACACCGTAAGCTTTCATTGTCGAAGGATTAATGAGTATTTTAGTAACTTGTGAATTCAGTGAAATGTCTAAATTTCTACGGGTTCTCACTGGTCTTAAAAATGCTTTAGCTGTGCTGCATCTAGAACCACGTCTTATAGTCCCTTGGGCCATCATAAACCCGGTTTGGATGGCTCCATTTATATCTCTGTTGTCATATCCAATTTCGACCCCGGCTTCGACGAAAGCTGCTACCAGAGGTGTTTTCCATGGGGCTTCCTGCACAGTCAAATAACCACCTTGACCGTGATACTGACTTTTAGCCAAATAAGGGTTCCTGTTGTCTTCAGATTTAATAAAATATTTAAGAACATCTCGATATCCCCAACCTGGATTGCCAAATGATTCCCATTGGTCGTAGTCGTATCTATTACCTCTTACGTAAATCATGTAGTTTAAAACGCTGGAACCGCCAAGAACCTGAAATTGAAAAGCTTAGAATTATAAAAGTGATAGATGTTATCATTCAATGCTCTCAAAATATTAAAGGGACACTATTAAAAAAAAAAACGAAAATATAAGAAGGTTTTCACTTATACGTCATGTCTTATAAGTAGGGTAATTAAAGAAACTTTTTTTCCTACTAAATCCGTGATACCGCACTCTAGACGTTGCAATAATGTAACCATCGTGCTCTTTATTCGGTTCACTTTTGCATTCTGGATATGGCCCATAATAATAATATGCTAAACGCAAAATTACAACATAAGAATAAGAATATTAAAAATATAGTCTCGTTATGTAATACGAGTATAAGCGAGGTTTAGACAATCTCATGTATAAATATCACTAAACGACTAGATATCTTACTATACGTGATCATAGCAGCATAGTAAGAAAATTGAGCTATGTTAAGTAGTCGGCACTCGGCTACTATACCCTTCGAGTAAGGACTGTGTAATGTGGTTTGCTTATATAATAAAATATTCCAATCACAAATAAAAATAATATGATGAAAATTTTCCCTAATGTTAGTTGTATTATACAATATTACCTTTCCTCTCGGCCAGCTGCACCTGTTGTTCTTAAAACCCAAACAAGCATAAGATGTCGGCTCAGTCTTGTATTGCCAATCCAACTTCGATAGTTGCAAATAAGCGGCTAAAGATGGAACATCAGTGATCTCGTTCTCGTCCGGCCCTGGAAGTTTTAGATACATTATATATATTAGTACGCTATTAGTATTAAAGCCGCCAATGATTTTTCCTAAAATAATAAATTTGACATTCCTTTAACGTCATATTTATCATAACCAATAAAGTACCTGTCTATTTATGCTCTCATAGTTACAAATATTTTTTTTATTATTGTTTCTGTTCTTAAAATTATGCCACATATATAATTATTATATCTATATATTATTATCAGAGTATACCCACATATATACATACAATTAAGCATTTAACATTCTTGTATCCGATGTAATTGACTAAAACGATAACTTCTTATATTTTTTAAGTCTTATATTATTGTGAAGAAATAAACAGATAAAGCCTTTTTATTGTTACAGTATTAATAAGGGTTTGATTAATTATATTATTATTATGTACATTTTAATTGTTAACTCACCACTTTCCAATAAAAGTAAATTCCAATCTTTGACTTCTGTAAGACGATTGGCAACGACTGCACCAGCAGAGCCTCCGCCAACTACTACGAAATCGTACTCCCTCCTAGGTTCTTTATCTAGGACCTTCGATTCTGGGTCATAGGAGTTATAATTATGATACGTGAAGGCCCCAAGCAGAAGTGGTATTAACCATAGACCAGTAACGCTGACTGATTTTAAGGCTGTCGATGCTAAAAGGACTTGGATAGCCATTTTTATACTTTTGGATTATTATTATTGCAGATGATAGTATAACAGTTATTCTTTTGATCTTGAATCTATACGGTGATAAGTGGCTCACTATAATATGTATTGTTCAATAAAGTTTGTCATATATCTTAAACACGGTCCGGTGGTTTGCTTCTTCGCATAGCCTTCTTTGTTTTTAAAGATGGTTGAAGCTGCGTCATATTAACAAACACAGGTGATCAATCTATGGCCTTTCAATTTTTGGACCTGAAACATATAAATTATAATTTAGTTTATGTATTTAGTTGTTAAAAAATCTAATTATTTGTAGACATAATGTGTAGACATAATAATAAAAATAAGTCACGGATATTAATAATATCTAAAAATATTTTTTCTTTTACAGGTAATTCATGAAGCAATGCGGACTAATATCAAGTAAGGTGTTTTAATAAAACAAAGTTGCAAAGATATTAATGTACTGTAACTATTACTATTTTAAAAGTACTATATAAAAATAAAAAAATTACTATCATGTTGGTAAATAAAGAGATCATTTTATAATTCTTCTACTATTTAGGTTATCTAAAACTATCAGCATTTCGTAATTTAAACCCTAATTATGAGTGAGTCCATAATTATGACACTATTATATGCGTCGTCATAACTAGAAAGTGACTATTTTAATACATATTTTATATAATCCTCTTGTGTATAAAAATTACTGAGTAATGACATTTTGAGACAGATTTATGTTCAGTGCTATAAGTTGAACAGAGAAACTAGTTTCCTTGTTATACGGAAACTGCGATCGAATTTCTAGATTAGCGAAAGTGATTGTTGAGATTAAATAAAAGCTTTTTAGACTTTATTATGGCACAGCTTCATTTGTAATAGTCACTATATTTACTAATGTTATTGTGTGAGTTCTAAATTTATTATCTTATGGAGTAGTGGTTAACTGTTGCCTAAAAGAACAGTTGTTACTTTATTTTAATAAACGCAATCAGAGCGTGACCGTTACTATAATTGACGCGTCATAGTTATGTTTATTTAGTTTTAAGTTAAACGCTTTTATATTGTATTTGGTTATTTAATGTTACGAAACTTCTTGTAATAGCTATGATCTCTATTAATCTTGAACAATGAATTTTTTTTGTTACTTTATGTCTAAGTCCATAAATCAATTTAGATTAAAACAGATACAGTTGTAAATATGAATATATTCTCTAAATACTCATACATAGATAAAGTTATAATTTCCAAACTATACGAATAGATCTATAAAGTTCTAACGTATATTTTTTTAACAATTAGTTTTAATTTATGAGTGAGTCCATGGATATTCTCACGCTTAAATTAGGAATTTTGATTATCATTAAAACATGCATTGTCTGAAGTTATCAATTATTTTATATTGGCACTGAAAATTAAGATATTCCCTTCACATACAAAATCATTGAACAGTTTAATGGTGAAATTCAAAATAAATATTTTTCAAATGAATGTCATATTATCTCGTGACTTTCATAATATAAGACATACATGATTTAATACGCTCAATGTTATTTCTTTAAATTATATTTGCATCTTTGGACAACTCATCAAATACACTTGTCAGTGCTTTATAATATTTGATATCAATGTACGCAAAGGATTTTCTTTAATAAATTATATCTATTTAGATCTAAGAACGTGTTCTGTAGAGGAGATACAAGGTCTTTCCAACATATGTTTTCCAACATTAACCATAACGTAAAAAAATCTGACCTACAAAACATGTTAGACCAGTTGTCAAATTTCAAACGTTTATTGCATGCCACAATTATTTATTAGTAAACAAAAATTATGCAATAATACAGTTATTAGGTGAAGGTCGTTTGTCGAACTATTGATTTTGCCATATGCCCTGAATGTGGTAAGTGACGTGATATTACATAATTTTTTTAAATAATTTTGAATTAATTAAGAACGTCGAAATGGTAATTAATTGCTAAAGTGTGTATAGTAAAAAAGGAAACAGATTTCTGTAAGTAAGGTGGTAAAAAAAATTATGAAGCTTAATAGTAATGTGAAATTTTATAATGTACATATTTTTCTATTGGAATAAAACTTTTGATTCTTCGGGAAGCTCTGCAGGTTTGGGGTTTAGTATTAATATCAAAATTGTTATTGATACCAGATCTTAGGAACTTTCCTTCTAATGACGTTAACATCTTTAAGTAGACTATAATTACCAATGTCATTTGTAAGACGACCCGAATGTTGCCAGACGAAAGCCCGTACATACTTTCACCGTTTCTCAACCTGTCGTGGACAATTCGACCTTCATATTATGTAACTTGTGGTAGGTCTTTTAGGACACTATTACGATGTAACATATTGATCGGCATGTTCTAATTTATTGCTAACTATCACTTTGAAAGACTTTAAATTCATCTCTCTTCCGTACTATAAATTGCGTTTTTGTTAATGTTTTTTTTTGTTTTTACGAAAAGATTATTTTACTAATGCGCCTTCTTATTATAGAAATCACATTTTATTTTCATCCGTTGACAAATAAACAAAAACGAATTATTTATGATGCATTAGGAACTTTATATATTTTTACAATTTGTTGCAATAAAATTGCATAAATATGTTTAGCTGCGTGCTAATATTTAAATTTTGTTGCAATGACGTGTCTTCGTGACCTCCTTTCTGTTGTTTTGAAATTTTTTACCACCGTTGGATTTAGAGTCTTCGCTAACAGTTTTTTTTTATTATTATTACAGCATAAAAAAAAAACATATTTTGAAAAAAAAAATAGTGTTTAAAAATCTATAGAGTTATTTAATTAAACATCTTGTTTAGTTTTAGTTACATATGTGTCATTTAATAAAAGGTTTTAGTTTGACAAAATATTATTAAGTAAAGTTATCATAGTACGTTATAAGTTATATCACGTTGTGACGAGCGGAGCGGAGTATCAATGAAAAATATTGCATAAATGGAAGAAGTTTGAAATGTCTATATTATCGGTACTTCTAATTAAATATACAACAAAATTATTTCCAACAGCTACCTACATAACAAGTTTATAAGATCCAGTAGTTTTATCTAACGCTCTAAAATTCCACTCGTATTTATACTGGCGTTATGTACTCAAAACCACTCCTTAATTTTACTATTACCTTATTTAAAATGTATTAAACTGAAACGAACATATTTAGATAAAAACTACACATCCTTTTAATACTTATGATTGCTCTATGGTGCACTGGTTGATTGTTGTGTTATTAAAATAGAAAAATCTCATTAATTGACCGATTAGTCTTCACGTTTATATGTAGTCTGCATTAGCTCTGTTTAACAGTTCCGCATAGATGATAGGTTATTTCAAATATATATCGTATTTCCTGTCTGGTAAACTCCTTTATTTTTATAAATAAACGTATCAGATTTGGATATGTCCTATAAGTGATCAGTGTTAGTATATAAGTATTTTTGTTTGTTTTATTTTTTTATAGATATTTAATTTCGATCTATTGTCAATTATGTTAAATGCCAGGAACTCCTCCCTTTCATTTTTCCTTTCTAAAAATAGCCTTCTCTAAAAGTTAATATGGCTATGCTTTTGTAATTCAAAATGGTAAGAAAAAAATACAGTACAAACGTCTTCTTCAGATGAAGGTCGAAAAAATATTTGTAGGTATACATTTTTTTTACATTATTCACTTACAAGAATATGTGCGAGCGTATGAAATATATACGTAATATGTGCAGTTGGTGTCTTAAAATATGTAGGAACGTAATATATAATCACATGCAAAGGCTAAAAATCCTCTTTGTAATATATAGCGAAAAGCCGCTAATTCGTAAACGCGTTTAATGAAAGGAAAGTGATTTCTATGTAGTAACCTCGTCCCAGACACTGGTAGGTCACGTCAGCCGAGCGTTGAGCAAGGACTCGGCCCCGATACGGTTGAAAACGAGGATGACTGAGCATTATATAATATTATTTAATTTGCATAAGACTTATTATGAATCGACATCTAGAACATTCAACATTTGATGTTTTAGTGGCTTGAAAACAAAGTATAGTTTACTTATCAGTTCCTTGTACATAAATTGGAACAGTTACATATATTAAGGGATATACGAAAGATTGTCCGCAATAAACGATTGGTTTCATTAAAAAGCTTCAAGAGTTATGTTAATCTAATTTTATATGGTTTGCGTGACGTGACCTCGTTTCGAAATCCAATTCAGATAGGCTTTCGTTTATGGCGATTTTTAATGGTTTCATCGTACGAAACGATGCTATCCATGGCTTTGAAATTATAGAATGTAACCTTATATCTTTATTTTTATTTTAAGAGCAATTCTTCCACATTGGTCATAAAAAGACATCGCAGAATGATAATGTTTATAAAGATTTTAATTTTCAATAAAATACAATAATATTTCTCTAAAAGTGTAAGCTATTAAAGCCAACAGATACATTTTTTTTTTATAAAAAACATATTTTCATAACCTAATTTATAATAAACAATATCTGTGCTATTTTATACTATGATTAACAAAAAATGAGTACGATAACAATGATCAAGTTAATTAGTATGGTGTCAAACAAATCAGAGCGTGAAGATAAAATCTTATATCGACTGTCAAATCAGGGTAAGTTTGGCAACAACCTCTGTTAATCATGATACTAAAATGAATCTATTTGTTACGAAAAAAAAAAACAATTACAGAGGTCTTAATACACATAAAGGAACGAAGGAATCACTGTCATTTGTTCGCTATCTTCGATATATAAATTATAATGAATTTAGCTGTAAAAAATGTAAACATACCTCTTCAAATTGATTTAATTCTATCAATTTTTTTAAATAACAAAGTTACGTATTAGTCATAATATGATATTTTTTTTATGTAATCTGGTGTTTATCAAAGTGACAAAACTTATAAAAATTAAGTACAAATTTATTTAATTAAATTTTTACGACAAGTTAATATGTATACTGTAGGTCAGTAAATAT